TGGCCTCCCTTGTCCAGGCTTCATTGCATCCCCTTTTATTTCACCTCTGCCTCCATGGTTCAGTGTTGACAATAATATTTTTACCAATTTTAACAGCATCCCAAAGTCATCCCTCTCACCTGCTGCCATCACACAAATGTTTCATGATCTTTCCCAAAATAAGTATGCAAACTGTGTGGCTGCCTACACAGATGGGTCACGAGTAGAAAAACCCACATGCTCCACATCTGCTGCTGTGGTAGTCCCATCCAGGGGAGTTTCTCTCAACTGGAAGCTCCGCCCAGGAGTACAAGTATTGGAATCAGAACTATTTGCTATACAGGAGGCTCTCACTTGGGCCCAAAATAACCTTTTGGATGAAAAATTTTATTTTTACTGATTCACAAAGCTCATTGTTTCTGATTAAAGATAGGAAACCTGAACACTACTTGCCACTGGTTTTTAAAATTCAAGCCAAACTGTTGTCGCTGAATTCTATCCATGCAACGATGCTCCAGTTTATTCCCAGCCACTGTGGAATATTTGGAAACGAAGCAGCAGATCTTGCTGCCCAAGAAACACACACCCTCCCATATTGTACATTGACCACCCCGAGCAAGGAGGAGTTGGTGAGATTGATAGATGATGCGATCTCTGTTAGTTGGTGCACATCATGGCATCAGGAAATGAGATCTGGAAGGGGGCTCTTCATTGCTCAGGTTAAGGACAATCTAGGCACGTGGCCGTAGGCCTCACACCCAAATCGGGCAATTGAGACAGCTGTAGCTTGCCTACGTACGGGTCATGCTGGTGTCCGATCACACCTGGCTCGTTTTGGCTTGGCTCCTAATCCACTCTGCCCCTGTGGCTCTGTTGAAACCATTTACCACCTTATTTTTGAATGCACAAATCATTCTGTGGCCCGCACTCAAATGTTACATAAGCTGGCAGTACTTAATGTCACTCCCAACTTGAAAAATCTCTTGGGAGGAGGCCCCTTCCCGCTGATAACCCAATCAGCAATTGTTGAAGCTCTAGCCTCATTCCTCTGCTCCTCGTATGTAATAAACTCAATCTGATAACCATTCATCTGTTAACATTATGGTAAATGTTGCTACTACTGTAGACAAATTAACACTAACATATGTCAGAACTAGCCTAGATCAATTCATATTTCCCTTTCAGACTGCCATTTTTGCAGTCCCTGGCAACCAGCAGCATTCTCAGCAGCTTTCCTAGGTATTTTTGTTCTGTCTGTCTGCCTCATGTAAGGAATGCTGCTGATTCCAACCTTTCATATCACGACCCCCTGATTCCTTCAAAACCCTGCCCACAGGAGTTCCTTGTTTGACACTTATTGATTAATAAAGTAATTCCTATTTTGTTGCTGCTTTGGCAGTAAGAAAGCTCCAGGCTGTTCCGCCCAGGCTGGACCTTTGCATACCTAGTATCAGGATACTCATGTGAGGCACAGTGTAGGGCATGACCTAGTTACTAACCTTGGGTAGTTGAAATGCATTAGAAACCTGACTTTACTGATGGTTATTATGTGGATTAACTGAATAAGGACAATAGATTATTTTATGTAGACTTTGTTAGATTAATTGGAGAGCAGTTTTATGTGTCGCCTTCCTGCGGCCGCCCGTGTGTCCATCCTCCTGCATGTGGGAGGGGGGAAACATGTGCCGTGCCTGCGATATACTCTACTGTTATCCCTTCCTCTATTATTTTATCTCTATATTCTTTCGACCCTCAATCTCTGATTATTCCTGACATGTACTATGCCGTATGATGCTTTTATGTCCATTGTTCTGCCTTCCCTATTTCTCTTTCTTTTCCCCTTTTCTTTCTCATTTCCCATTCTCTTTCTTTTTTCTCCTCTTTTTTTGTATTTTTATTGACTTATCTTTGATTTTATTGTTGTTTTATTTGTATTTTAATTTATTTTTCTATTTTATTTATTTTTTTTATTTTTTTAATTATTTATTATTATTTTTTTTCTTGTGTGTGTATGTTTTTTTCTTGCAGATTCTTTCAGATTATTAGATAGGTACTTAGATTGTTACTATATGATAGTTAGGCCTAAACCAAAAACTGTTTAGGCAAGGGGCTAAATGGACCAGTTTCCAGTGCTCCTATAAGAAGTAATGAGAAGAAGAAGAAATTTTTCTAAGTAAATTTCCAAAAATTGATACAACAGTTTTATGTTTTCTGGACGTTTCAGAACATTCTCTATTGATTAATTCGATCGAAAAATGAACTTTTCTGTGACCCTCATATGTTGGCGCAACAAAATTTTTCTATGTAAATATAAAAATTTTATATGTAAAATTAAAAGTTTTCTTGCTGTTTCAGATGATTTGCAGCCTTTTATTTTTTCGAACCTGGTCCGCCGGACCGGTCCGGGTCCGGGTTTTAGTCACTCGGTCCGGGTCCGGCAGACCAGTCCGGGTCCAGGTTTTAGTCAGTACCTATCTGCAGTAATACTTCTAACAGTTTGTTGTACATTGTTTGGGCATTTAGTTCCAGGAACTCAGAACTCAGATCTCTAGTCAATTCCAAGGAGTTCATTCTCAATGGCCTCCCAGTCTGTTCTTTGATGATTAAACTAATCCATTACTAACAGTATACTCTGAAGTCCTCTTCTTCCTTTGTAGATGATGTAGATCAGATGTACAATAAATGACATTTTCTGTGATTTTTACTTGTTTTTTTTTATTGATGATAATACCATTTTTGCGGGTTTGTCTTATCCATATATTAGGTACGTACCATAATATATGTGATCACAATTTGTGATATTACGGTATTACCATATCCATGGACATGCCTTTGAGCTGTTTATAATGAGCATTGACAACAACCTTGTCTACTTTCTACTGCAAGATTCATATCAGCAGGACAGCAGCCATTTAGCATTTCTTCTGTATCTGTATGCTTACGCTACGGCTACAGGATGGCTTGTAATTTCGCACCGTTTTAATTGGGTCAAGCGAATTCATTATAACAAAAAAAATCATAAAAAACATGCCTGAAACTTGAAAGAGAAAGAAATATTTTAATGACAACCATCATATTTTTTGGAGAAATAAATCATAGTTTAGGCTAATTACTTCTCATTCTATGCTGCCTGGTGCTGCAGTGGTGCACAATTCTATCGATGACATTCTATGTGTACAATTTTGTGACAACCAATGATGTGGTGATTTTTGGTTAGGCCTAAATGAAATTTTTTTGCTGAACAAGGTCATGTAATAAAAACTTCGGCAATACTTTAGATTAAGTGCATCCAAAAATAAGGGTGTTTTTTTTTTAATTATATGTTTTTTGGGGTGTAGATAAAGAATCTGAAATCCGTTTTTGGCGGTCGGCATCCAAAAACCGATTTTTTCCCCCGAGGCTCTAATTCGTCAAAAAAAATCATGCAAAAATTGGCAAAATTGGCGGGAAAAACTAACCTAACCTAACCGTGGTTGCAATGTGGTGGTTGCCAGCAATGTTGTGGTTGCAAGAGTAGGTATATGGGTCATCGAGGCTAAGTTAAAAACGCTATAAATCCACGGATATTGGGGCCAAGATTTAACTTGCATTTTATCATACAAAATATATATAGAGTTTCAACAATTTTTCAAGTTTTCTAAAAACTTCCTTTTCAATTACACTTAGGCGTCGAATAATGATTCTGGATAAAAAAGACACGATCGCAGTTCTGAAATAAAAATCCATATATTCTAACGTTTCGGCCATCTACACTTTAGCCATCACAAGCACTTTGTTGAAGACCATAACAGCCCTGTTCCCAACAACATATCCGACTGTTTCTCTGTAATTCATTCTTTTTCTGAAGTATTAGACCTTAGAATAGCGGAGGCAATAGCTATTAGACAAAATAATCCGTTCATCAATGTAAAATACCAAGAGATGTTAAATTTCCTCAACTTGTACAGATAAAATCTGATCTGATATTTACTGTATTCTTATCTGAATTTCTATTCTTTCCAGATTATCATCTTATTTACTCTGATGATGGCTAAAGTGTAGATGGCCGAAACGTTAGAATATATGGATTTTTATTTCAGAACTGCGATCGTGTCTTTTTTATCCAGAATCATTATTCGACCCATAAGTGTAATTGAAAAGGAAGTTTTTAGAAAACTTGAAAAATTGTTGAAACTCTATATAAAAATAAAGTCCGATTTATTATTTCTGCATACAAAATATATAAAAATCGGCATATATAAAAATCGGTTTTCCGATGCCGACCATCAAAAACGGATTTCAGATTCTTTATCTACACCCCAAAAAACATACCGTAATTAAACAAAAAAAACGCCCTATTTTTTTATGCACTTAATCTAAAGTAATACCAAAAATTTTTGTTGTCAATTGATTTTTTTGTTAACTGAAGGCTGGAACCTTTGCTAACTGAGGTTCTACTGTGAATGCATTTTAGGGGTGTTCCTTATTACCCTGGGACCGGGAGTATGTCACTTACTGCCCTGTTGCGCAGAAATGGCTGCAATTTTTTTAAATGAGCTACGCAAATTCCGTCAATCACGTTTTTAAGTCACCATCTGTGTGCAACTTTTATGTAAGTAAAATGTTTTCATACGGCAAATATTTTGTTTGCTACTGACCTTAACAGAGGTACTTTTCCAAAATCACACTTTCACCCATTTTTTCAGAGATTTTGCTTTACCGGTATGCTACATGGATAGGAAAAATGTTGAACTTTATGCCGCTATTTTTAGTTTTCCAATATTCCAATTAGATTATCTTCTACAACATTTCTACAAAATGTCAGAGGACTGTCCCAATTAACCCTGCCCGTCCCTTATTACCCTGTTTGACAGTATTTGCCTATAATTGCTATATGAATATATTGCATTGTAATACAGGTGTTTGCTCTACTCAGTCTACTGCAGTGGCACTTTGTTTATGTGTTCCTTATCAGATGTTCAAAATGGTGTTTTAAAATTTTTATTCAGGGGAGAAAATATTAACTATCAGTCAAAAATATCTGAATTAGTAGGGGTTTTAATTGATTTGTTTCTTTTGTGTAATTTTTACTGTCATTCCCCCTTTAGTTACCCCATAATACCTCTTGATGTCATCAAAGGATGGCTTTAAATCTAGTCCAGGAAAATTAAGCTCTAGTTCATCCAATACTTATGACCATGGAGTCCAACATAACTTGAGTGCAAGGACACATGCCTCATCCAGTGATTGGAGGGCCAATCGTGTCAGGCTAGGTGTGCCGAGTGCCCAGTCATCAGAATATGCACTTCCAGGATTAAGCACAAATTACTCTTCCCGGCTCATCAGGAGTGGAGGGATTTTTGTGACTAGCAGATCACGCTTCAAAGTTGATATGGGCCCTTGGCATGAGCTGCCTGAGGATATTCTCTTGAAAATTTTTGGAGATCTTGCAGTCTATGACCTTGGTTCAGCAGCAAGAGTTTGCAAGTATGTACCAGTATATGCATATATTTCAATTACATCAACCTGGGCCCCAGGCTAGGAATTCAAATCATGAGTTGATTGATAAATTTTGTAATGTATTAAGAAATACTTCAAGCCTGATATTTATTTTTATTACTTTATATATATATATATTTTTTTTTTTTTGCTGTCAGGACCACAATTGAACTTTAGTATAATTATTATGGAAGAAACAAATAATAAAATAGAAAAATTTTTGTAGTATCTACTGTGTTGGATAAGAAAAATACTGAAAAATTATCAGAGAGAACCTGAATTTTTAGAGTTCTTATTATTCATATTCCTTCAAAACATCCAATGAAACAATATGATTTCTTCCTTTTGATCTATTAGTACAATTCTATTCTGCTTTCATTTTTCAGGCACTGGAACAATGTAGCTTCAAGTGATTACCTCTGGAAGAAATTATTTCAAACAAAATTCAAGCTAGATCCATCAATACCCATGTATACCAGTAAGTGTCAATATAGAACAATGTATCTGGTACAAATATGTACATACATATTTTGGAGGTTCAGAATAGTCAGTTGAAGTAGTATGTGTACATGGTTCCTTTTAGTAGTACCAGAGACTATATGTACTTATTATGTACGGTAGGTATATGAAAATACTTCCTAAAAAGCTTTTTAACTATGCCTCTTAACATTATTTAATTGAAATCCTTCTTTATTCTTAATGAGAATATTGTTAGGAAGCAAGCCTTGTTATCTGAAAATGTTTCCACCCTACTCACCCTACTCACCCTAGCTCAAGCATTGATTAATTGCAATTGTCTTAAAAATGCTTGCAACTGCGCAGGGGCAGAGAAGGGCTGGCGTGGGGAGTATGTGAGATTGGTTGACGAGGCCCCTGTAATGCGCTGTGAGGTGCTCAAGGATCATCGCAGCTATGTCTTGCATGCTGCATTCTCTAACTCTGGACTCTTCTTTGCCACTTGCTCATTTGATGCTCAAGTTATTGTAAGTCACCAGAAACTTAACAATGTTTTCCAATAATGTAGCATATTTAAGAGTTGTAAGATTGAAGTAAAATTAATTCAATATAAGAATGAAAGTAATTAGTTGCTCATTGGAAATGTAAAAATTATTTCTACTTATAACAGTGTGGTGGATAGACACTCTTTTGACATTAAACACTGGTTCTCAGTATCACAGTAGGTACTTCTAAACTTGTATACATTTCTGTAACAAGTGACAAAGTCTGAGACTTCTGTGAAGTCTGAGCATTTTTTAAAAATGTTTTAAAATATATTTTTTTGTGATACATCTATATTTTTATTAGAGAGATGACGCTCTGAGTGGGCAGGTATGGACTTCAGACTACCCATGCAGGATGGTGTATCAGGCGGACCTGCAGCGCAAGTACAACTGGAAGTTTGCCTGCTACTCTCAGTTCAACAGTTCAGACACATTACTCATGGTGTCTGGGGCTTACTTTGGCACTGGACCGTTTCTTACATCGGGAGAGGTTGTTATTTTTGACCTGGAAGGTGAGATCTGTTGCTTAAACTTATTTGAAACCTATATTATGAATATTTTTCTTAGATTACTTATAGTTTGCCTCCTGCCTCTTGTTTAGCCTAGTATTTGTTCATTTACAAATGTTACTCATCTCAATTGATTAAGACTTGAAATAGCCTCCATGCAATGTGGAGCAATGCATATATAAGTGATAAGATTTCCAAAGTAATCAGTCATAATTTTATTGAAAAGTTAGCCTTGTTTGTCAATTTCAATTTAATTATTTCACATTTTTTAATATATGTAAAAGAACAATGCCTTCCATGTCACTGGCTTTATAGCTTACCGCTACTTGCAATCTTGTAAAGTTACCATTCCATGAAATTAGTTTGTTAAAAATAAATTGATTCAATACGTACCTATATTGATTTTACATTGACCTTTGAAGCTATGCTACTTGCAAATTCTCCATATAAGGTTCATAATGGATTGCATGCAAGATGATATTTTTTCTCAGCAATTGAATTAGAGTCATAAAAAGTTATGCCCCCAGACGACTTCCGCCTCTTATCCCGCACCAAAAACCGCCCCTATGACCTCTACGGTGCTTGGATAACTGATGAATATCTTGTCACGGGCGAGTTAAAGTGGCTGCAGAACATGGTGGGCTTGCTCATCTTCAATTACCACATATTCATTTCATAGGGAAAATAAAATGATTATTCATATGTAGCAATAAAATTGTTAATTCAAACAAAAAAAATTAAATTAATTCAAACAAAAAAATTGTATGCTTGAAGGAAAATTTTTCAGGATTTTTTTTATAACTTTGATGCAATTTTAAACAAAGATAATTCTATTTTTACATATATTGCTAGAAGAAACACCATTTTATGATTATTAGCTGGTAAAATTCTATGCCAAATGAAGCTTAGGAGAGTTTTTTGGTGGTGGGCAGCATAGCACAAGTACGTTGCTGCTCATCAGATCCACGCAGGAGGTGGGCAGCGAGCACGTGCCCATCTTGAGCACGCTGCTCAAGCTCTTCAACAAGAACTCAGCGTGTGCACGATCCCTGCAAGTTGCTTATGCCCCGGAGTCTGGCCCCCCTGCTGAGAAGGTTCGTGTATTCAAATAAATTTCTTTGTCCTTCCTTTTTAATTACTCAACTTTTCCGCTTTTGCTGTCATTCCTGGTCTTTTGCAGTACTTAATATCTAACCCCCACTGCGGGTTCTTCAAATGTAAATACAGATTTTGTTCCCATCAATGTGTGCAATTCTCAGAACAATAAATTTCATGAACTTTGAATTTGGTATCTGACGATCTTAACTTATAAAATGATTAGATTGTCAGTTCTCTGGTCTTCACGTGAAGATATATTCTTTCATTATAGTCTTCCAAATGTGTTTCAATTCTTCAACTAATATTCATAATGGTGAGGCAAACAAATTAAATAAATACCTTATTTGATGTGAGTGATCTTGTGCTGCTTGAGGCATATTTGTGCTGTCGAACCTTCAGTCAGGACCATGTACTGAGAACGGCAACTGTGGGCTTATCAATCAATCATGTCTTAGGACAGTGATAATCTTAGGTCAGATTCCCTAACTTTTAATTTAACTCTATTGGTGTTTAATTTATTCTGTATACCCACTGTTCAATTTAGTATAGTGGAATTAATTTCATGTAGCTGGTTCGATTTTTGCTGTTAATTTCGCACAATATTTTAGAATGTTGCTGTTATTTTGCCTTGCCATGTGCGTTTCAACTCTATGGGAATTTCATTTGTCTGTAGAAACATAATGTAGTAAAACCAGAAATTTGATTGCATAATCAAGTAATCTCTTTTTAGAAAAAAATCACGGCGAGCAAGGAGCCGACGGGTTCAGGCAATATTGTGTACCGCCCTGAATACTTCACAGCTGAGCAGCAGCAATGGCAGACGGTAGGGATGCCCGTGAAGATTTCCTTGACCTGCTTTATTTAGCTACAGAGTAGGCTTTTTATCTTAACCATATGACAGGTTGTAATTTAGTCAAGTTCATTCCTGTGTTACTCAAGAATTGATCATCATAATTGAGGTGAACAATTTTCACATGTACCATGAACGTTATTTTGAATCATTTTCAAGTCTTTAATAGGCTAACCAGAATGTGGTTGTGTACTTTCAAATTTGTAACCCTGGCTAATAAAGTTTCTGAGAACATAATATATTGAGCTTTATTTTATTACAAATTAATACAGTGAGTAAGATTCACTTCATGTTTTAAATCTTTAAATTGAATGTATGTGTTGATACTCTGTTGAACAAAATAGTCTGCTGCAGGAGTGTGAGGCAGAGGCTGCAGGAGACGAGGCTGGCTTGGAGAAGCCCCTGCCGCTGCCTCAGTCCCTGGACAACTGCCAGGAGCGTCTCCTCATATTCACCACCGGCGACAAAACCTTCACGCCTCACCAGATTGGTAATGCCTGCTGATGACATTATTCCTTGGTGATTATTAATTTATGATTATTAGCTGTTAAAATTCTATGCCAAATGAAGCTAACTAACGACCTGACCAGATTGGTAATGCCTGCTGTTGGACATTATTCCTTGGTATATACTTGACCAGATTGGTAATGCCGACTGGCCGACTGTTGACATTATTCTTCAGTATATATCTCGCCAGACTGGTAATGCCTGCTGCCGACATTATTCTTGGAATTCACGTTACCACATCCAGTTAGTAGCACCTTTCAAAATTCGGCACAGTTCTTGAAGATTGTATTTTTTAGAGGAACCTCTTTTTTTTAACTTGCTGTGCATTATTTTTTCTATATTTTCGAGGACCCAGGCGTGATAAAGGTGCGACCAGAGATGCCTGAGCGAGTGGAGGTGCAGCACGACATCCAAGAGCTGCTCAGACGACAGAAGAACATCAGACGACTCGTCCAGGAGCAGCCAGACGTCGACATGTGAGCTCACTAATGTTATGGACTTCATCTCTAGAATATGCCAACTCTTTGATGTTAATATGATTCAAATTTTGAACAAAACGAGGACAATTTTTCATTTTCGTCAACTTTGAGTATTTGACAACGTTTTGCTTAGTTGTTAGCGTAGTTATTACTTGCGGACTGTGTATATATTTTGATCAAGTTCAGGTAAAGACTAGGTATATATGTAACAACACCAGGTGCTTTCTTAATGATCTTTGGAAATGCAAACATCTTTATTAAATGAAACTCTTCTATCCTTCTTCCTCAGAATACCTTTGTTGATAAATTTCCTATGCTCATGTCGTACTTCTTTGGGTCATGATTTCATTAACTTTTTACGGATTTACATAATTATTATTAATGTTTCTTTTATAGTGTGCAACAGCGTTATACCTCCACAACTGCTAGCGATTGCGTGATCTAATGCATATTCTACCTAAGCTCTGTATTATATGCATAACTACTCGTGAATCAAATTATGTTGAGTAACAATTCAATAATCAGTGTACGAGGCAAAGAAAGCAATAACAAGAAATGCCACGGTTTACAGAGCTCAGTATGAGAGCGTGCAGCAGCTGTGTCATCCTATTGACCACACCATCGAGCTGGACGGCAACGCTGTTGGCATGGCTCTCTCACCAGATCACAGGTAATGAGTTAACTAATTCGTCTATTTACGTATTTAAAGGGACGAGTACTCTCACCAGATCACAGGTAATGAGTTAACTAATTCGTCTATTTACGTATTTAAAGGGACGAGTACTCTCACCAGATCACAGGTCATGAGTTAACTAATTCATCTATTTACGTATTTAAAAGGACGAGTACTCTCACCAGATCACAGGTAATGACTTAACTAATTCATCTATTTACGTATTTAAAGGGACGAGTAGTCAATGATGTATCTGATTCCATTTGTAAAGCTTTCCTACTGACACTAGAGCAGCGCTGCGTTTTCGTTTTTTATTTATTCCAATGTGTTGAGATCAAAACAAATCTAACCTGAAATGAGGAATAGGCCTTCTAATCCAATTCATCTTGCTACATTCGTTTAATTTATGCCAACGATACCTGAAAATAAGCTGTTGTATTTTATTTGTCTTGTTAATACAATGCATGAGCTATTTTATTCTTACAGGTTCCTGTACGTCAACAGTCACCCATGGCCCAACGGCCTGCCGCACTACCGCCCCGTCACGCCCGTGAGCGCTCCTTCCATCGCACAACACGTCAACACGCACGTCTTCGATCTCGCTACCTTCACTGAGGTTCAACATCAGCCTATGTTTAACAGGGCAGGGTGGCCCAGTGGTTACAGTTCAGAGTACTGAGTATTGGTGCAGAGAGGCGCGGGTTCGATCCCAGCTCTGTGCGCCAGTTTCTGGTCAGAATCGGCAAGGAGGCCGGGCGGTTAAGCACCGCAGAATTGAAGCAGTGAGTTGCGAGCTCGAGACCGCAAAATGCTGTGAATGTTCTGCGATGTTAAGAACCGGCGACAGGCCCACGGCCTAATAAACGCTGAAACCGCTATTATCATTATTATTATTATTGTTATTCTGTTGATGAATCCTTGATGAGAATTTACACATTTTAACAAGAGTGTACACTTATTTGTCCTGGAAGTTAGGTTTTAGAAGAAAGTATTAGTATATGATTTAATCTTGCTTCTCTCGAATGTTAAAGTTAGAAAAACTCCAAGTGGCTTCGCGCGTACTAAATTAACACGACATATTTTATGGGATTAGAAGTTGAAGCTACAAAATAGCCTTTTTTACGAAACATTAGGTTATCTGTCGCAATAGATTTTATTAATAGTGCTTTGATTTAAAACATTTCTGGTGTCCTAAAGCTTTCATGCATCGGTGGTTTTTTTATATTTCGATGGCATTCATCTAGTACTACCTCTAGTTTAATTTTTCACGACATTTTCATATATCATACATGGTGCCTCATACAGGTTGGGTCTCTAGTTCAACTTGATGCTGATTACATATCAAGTGATGAGTCATACTACATCTTCCCTTCGGTATCTCACCACTACTTTGCGAGGTAAGCTTCACCTGTTACTGTATTGTATTCAGAAGCTGTGTACCATCAACTTACTTGGTATCCATTGCATTGAAGCCAAAATGTGACACGAGTTATTAACAGGTGGCTATAGTTTACGATTTAAAAATGTAACATGAGTAATTGACAAATTAACAGGTGCTATAGTGAAGTGATCGGGAAACATGGTTTGACTGTCAGTATCTGGACTGCTAATAGAGCTATTAGGGTTACGAATTGAAAATGTGTAACCTGTTACTATTCTACCATGAGATAACGTCTGGAAGTACTTATTGGGGCATTTGTCCTATCTGGAAAATACGAATTATAAAAGTGAAGAAACAGAGCTCATTCCTTAATTTTTGGTGTCTTTGTTCTAGTTAATAATTCAATAAATTTCAAATGAATGCCAATGGGCGATTTTGAGGATCAATGATGAAAAATTATCAGTACTCACTGCAGTGAGTGACAGAGCGCGCCTTTTCTCACGTCCATCCGTCCGTGACGGACGGACATGACGAGTTCAATAGCGCCTTTTTACCATAAATGAAAAAAAAATGCGCTGAAAATGTATCAATTTAAGTCGAAAACATTACAAGAACCTTGTCCTAACGGCACAGATATGCTATCGGAATTTTGTTCCATTTATCTCTAAATAGCCAGCTTATTAGTTATCTAAGGACCAGTTTTCTTTCCAAATCATTATACATTAATTTATAGAATTGATATAATGAATAATCAAAAATAGTTACGCCTAAAACGGAATTGCATCCTATTCGTTCTTCGTATTTTGGTTATTTGGTAGCAGTGTGTAATGAATATAACATCTCTGCTGCAGTCCAAGCAGCAGTGATAGTGGAGCCAGCTTCGTACCATTTGTCTCTGCAGAGACTAACGAGATTCCGGTAAATTAGAATTAGAAAACAATGGCATTCAGAAAACAACTATATTTATATTACTCAGTGGCGGCAGCAAGTTTGGCCAGCTTTGGGACCGCCATTATGGCTTCTGCTTGGCTCGTCTCACCCACGACGACGCCGTGAGCTGTGCGGTGTTGTCTGCCGTGCGTCCTGACATTTGCATCACCGTCAGCGACGACAAGACTGTCAAGGTTTATATTTCTTTTGTTTAGCTATATTTAGCTATAAATTTAGCTATAGTAGTTAATCCTGATGAGGAATTTCAGCTCATAATGTTTGGATTCTCGATGCTGAATAGCCAGCACTCAGGAGGAATCTAATCGTTCTTCATTACCTCCTTTCTGATTCGTTTGATGCAAACAAAAGTGAACTGATAGTCTTTTGCATCATCAAAAGTATCTAATGTAACGGCATTTAAGTTGTAAATTCGCAGCTGTAGGTAGCAAGGCCTTTCTACTGTAAGGAGTCTTATAGCTATTAGGTAGAAGCGTAGAACTTGCGTTGAGATAATATAATATGTGCCTTTTTTATATAAATAATTTGCAGTTTATATGTGAAGTCAAGGCTTTCAAAAATGTGTGAATTTTGGAACTTCATGACTGTATCATTTAACTTAATGATTAAGATGAAGTGAATTTATGATTGTACGATGTAACTTAAGATATAGTAAATTTATGATTGTATGATGTAACTTTAAGGCTTGTAGGATTCAAGTAATGTTTGCTGCTGTGCAGATTTGGCGTTCACGACGCGCTGTCCGCAAGCATCGCATCGCTCGTGCCAAGCCTGCCGAGATATTGCTTCCCTCGGCCCACTGATGTTGAAATCTTTGGGTCTTTTATATTACTTCATTGGCTCTTTGATATCGCTATATCCTTCTGGCAAATATAAGTCGTTAATGGGTCTCGAGACATGCTTAATGGGAAATTCTATTGCATATCATCTACTGGTGAATTTACAACTATTATTTGAGAACAATTTGCCACACTGAAAAAATATCCAATGATCAAATTTCGAGGGACTTTTCTTAATTAATGCACTACCAACTAAGTATTAATTACTTCATAATTTAACCAGAATACACTTTTTAACAGAATTTCATGAGGAACTTGCTTAAGAAGCAACATCTCATATTTATGAATGAATCTCTTATTTTCGACATTTTGTGCTTGAATAGTTCAAGCTCTTCAATTCTACTCTGGTTTTCATGCCTCGTGCAACCTGGGCTGGTCAGGATGAAGCCCTTTAACTGATATCCGTTGATATTTAATATCCATAGCTAAGACGATGCGTGAACGGGTGCGGGTATTGCCAAAAGTCAAAATCAAATCAACATTCACCAATTTTATTTCTATTATAGCTTATCTTGCTACAATTTTAACTAAGTACTTATGTTATCTTGCAAGCCAACGAAGGATGGAGACCCTCTTTATCTCTTAACGTAATTTAAGCCTGAAAATTCGGAACTAATTTTCGTAAGTAATTAGCCATTGATTTGATATAAACAGCCATTTTCAAGTATGGAAATTCTACATAATTTCTGTAACAATTGTAAGAATTGGGCAGCCCGCTTTTAGGGCTGTGATATAAATTGGTTACTTTCATGATAATCGATAATTCGTTTCTCATGCCTTAATATTAGCTTAGTTGTTTCGCATTACTTGATGCTTGCTTTGTCTTACCCTCGACGGCATGGGTTCCCAAACTTCCATAATTGACCATCACCTTGTACAGTCGAGGCATTAGATACTCGACGCGGACCAGCATTTATACGCAATGTCAGATCATAGTATTTAATACAAATACGCAATCCCAGTTCAACCAGGATGCCAGATTGTCTTGTTTTAGGCAGTAAACATTACTTCAGAGGGAAAAATAACCAAAAATCGTTCAAACTCCCGAAATGTTCGCTGACCTCGTGAAATATTCTCAACTAATAGTAGAGGTTTTCGTACCGAAGTTTGGGAACCACTGCCACTATATGCTTGTTAAAACTAAGCGCAGGCTTCGGTTTGTTGTTGTTTTTAAAGCTAATCAAATTAACTAAAGGGACATGTTCTGGATGAATTTTGCCTCAAAAGTGTTTAATTTTGTCTTTTTTATAGGGAAAAAATTAATGCGTCAAATTTTGCACATCAAATTTGCCTTCAAAGAATCGTAAATGTTTTCAGGATCCAGCCGGATTACTTTTACTTTACTTTACCTACACGAGTCTGAAATCTGATGCATTGGCTTACAGCTTAATTAGGTGATTTATACATGATTTTAAAGCCTCGAAAGAGTGACTAATTCAGGCTGGCACTGTCCGTGTGTCCGTCGTAGCCCGTAAAACCCAATTAATGAGTTGACAATTCACGGTCGTTGAGCGTCTGCCATGACATGTTTCTTGTATATTTTTATTACGTGTCTAATGTGCAACGGAGCTTTAGGCACCGCGTGCAGTTCTCTCGCAGGCCAGAAATAGAATATGAATGTTGGGTTCTGTCTCCCGTGTACCGTCAGTTTGGTTTTTATTGCATGTATAGGTACAAATTAATGGCCAAATGCATCTTGCTGCCAGACTTACGAGAAACTCCTTCATATGGAACGAAGAACTTTTTTTCTCAAATTAAAGTAAGCTGCATGTTAGTTGGCTAGGGTCTGAATGTCTTCCTGTGACTGTGATAATTTAGTGTTATGGCAGAATACATATTCTACTGCTTACAAAAAATTAGTTCGAATTCTTGTCAATGGGTCGCTCTGGGTGGAATTAGTATTCATTTGCCCTTTGTTTTCTCCTCTAAAAACATGATAAGATATTTTATTAGTTAGAATACATAATGGCATGCTATAATAATTATAACATCATAATATATGGAAAACATACTAATAGCACTCTTAACTCATGGTTTGTAGTAAATTATTATGTTTTGTTACTTGGCATCTATAAATATAATGAAACGAAAAATGCACATGAAAAGAACAAATAATTCATGGCATTGAATAACTGAGGATGAGCAAGGATTGATATCGTTGACAGCTTGCCTAACAGATGTCGTTTGGAATGATGTTTGAAAGGCTGCTTGAATAAAATTATCAGCACTTCTATATCATTGTTTCTGTTATTAAAATTAGATAACCTCTTTACTATTGACAGGTCTTCAAAATGTACCCTTTCTTCACTTTTTTTATTTATAATAATAATAGCGGTTTCAGCGTTTTGTAGGCCGTAGGTCTGTCGCCGATTCTTAACATCGCAGAACATTCACAGCATTTTGCGGTCTCGAACTCGCAAATCACTGCTACAATTCTGGCTACACTGCAATGCAGTGTAGCCTGTACTCTGGCTACACTGCATTGATTTTATCTTCATTTTTCAAGAAAAAATATGATAGTAATAATTTATAAAAATGAGTATCAAATTGTTTTTGGAGGCTTAAAAATATTTAGTGGGCTGAAGACCCTGACTAGATGATTAATACTTGATGAATGAAGTCACTGGTCAATTTGAGGAGATAAAAAATGTTATAGATACCCTCAAAGATGGCACTTAAACCATCGTTGAACTAGTATGAGGTTGACCCATAAGAAGCTCATTTTCGCGGATGGAGTTCGTTGTTCTCGGGTGACCTCACTGATCTCAGTGACGTCACGGGCATTAACCAATCACCGAAATGCGATCAAATCAGTCAACCAATCCGTCGTGAGAATGACGGGATTATTTACGTTTCTTGATCTCAGTGACGTAACAAGAAAGCTGGAATGAAAGACGGATGTCCTCGTGAGTCATCCTTATATAGTTCAACCATGAGTCAACCAATCCGTCATGGGATTGACGGGTTTGTTTACGTTTTTCGATCTCACTAACGTAATAAAATAGCTGAAATGAAAGGCGGAACTTCTCGTGGGTCAACCTTATATAGTTCCATGGTTGAACTAGCATAAGTTAGACCTATCAGAAGCTCATTTTTGCGGATGTAGTTCGTTGTTCGCCTGTGACGTCACTGATCTCAGTGATGTCACGGGCATTAACCAATCACCTAAATGCTATCAAACCAGTCGACCAATCCGTCATGGGAATGACGGGTTTGTTTACGTCTCTCGATCTACGTGACGTAAGAAGTAAGCTGAACTGAAAGACGGAACTTCTCGTGGGTCAACCTTATTATTATGTCCTTATATAGTTCAACCATGACCTTAACAACGTGACACACGTGATTTTCACGTTTTTCGATCTCAGTGACGTTCTAGGCGGAACAACTAACACCATCCGCAAAGCTGAGCGTCTCGTGCGTCAACCTTCTAGTTCTACTAGTTCAACAGGGTCGCCTGCACTCTGCAGAAGACCACCACACAGTTGGGCAGACTCAACTTGGGCTAGGTAGTGCTCTGATTGAAAATAACTGTGAAGCGCCACTTGAAAGATCACTTAGGCAAATACAACTCAAAACCCTGTCATGGGGCCACATTGGACTGGTCTTCAGAGGCTCCCGCAAATCCGAAACGAACGACCACCACAGGCAGTGGGCACCACTGACTGTCCACTGCCCTGGATGTAATGGACCATCATGATTCCTGCCTACCGGAACGTAGCCTTCAACACTTCAAGCAGTCCGTATCTATTCTAGGCCGTGGGTCGTGCACGGCTGCGCTCCCGTAGTCCCGTACAACCATGGCGGTTAAGTGGTCAACGGGACGCCGGGGACGGGAGAACGTCAGTTGCGTTCACGGCGAAAGCACGTGTCATTTCACTCATTTGAGCTCTCTAAATACCGGTGAATTTATTTTCGAAGGATTAGAATTTGAAATGCTTAAAATAATTATTTTTTCACGTTTGATTCCCTATAAACACGACTGGCTTTCTCCCTTCTGGCTCCTGTCCTGTCTCGGCCCTCCGCCCTCGGGTCTCCTTGTCTGAGTCGTCTCCAGACTCAGACTGTCTCCTGAGGCTCAATGTTAATTTAGTCTGCCTGAGGGCCTTGGAGTCAGAGGTTTGCCTGTATGCTTTGCTGAAGTTTTTTTCTCATTTTTCATTATTATAGTTAGGTATTATTATCTATTTCTGTACTTTTTGTTTATCTGTATTGAAATCTTCACTTAGGCCTATTTTCATTTGATTGCTTCTATTTAACTAGACTATTTTATTTTCCTTTTGTACGTTTCTGTTTTGTGCCTTTGGTCTTCTTCCATAACCATAAAGATTAAGGAGTTGAGCAGGATGGAATTCTAATTTTGAAGGTTCATATATTATTTCGATCCACCAAGACCACTTTTTCTATCCAACATTGTTATTTGAGGCAAAAAATGAACTTCTTAAATACTAAATAATAAAGTAGGTAGTTCATTTGCCTGCCGCTGCTAGCGCTGGCATCAGTAAGTGAACCTTCTATGAATAATTTTAATTCAACATGGAATTATGGAGATGCAACTTCTAATCTTCTATGATTAATTTGAATCATAAACATTTACGTAATAACCGTACAAGAAATTAGCAATCAATAATTCAAGGTTATTTTGTAAGTTTTGTACCAACGGAAGACTATGTCTACAATAAATACGTATTGGCAACTTAAGCTAAAAAAATGCACTGTAACTGCAATCAGCTGCGAGAGAAGATGCCAGAAAATGCGATGGATTCAATTTAGTCGAATTTGATTTGAAATTGGTCTCAGTTCTTTGGAATAGGAGCATAAATTTCAGTGTAAAACCTATTAAAATTTTACGTTTCTGTGTGGATTTTGATGCTGTTAGCATTGAAATACTTGACAGTACCGTATCTCTGATGCAAGAAATACTGGCTAAATACATTTTAATTTAGAAATTAACGTCAATCGAAAATTCGAAATTACTGCTGTCAGGGCTATGTTGGTTCTTGCAAACCGATTGTTGCATCCAGTCGCTTATATTGAAAATAAAATGATTTAAGCAAGTATTTCTTGCATCAGAGATAATTCAAAGTTTGCTAATGTGAACAGCATTATAATACATGCAGAAACGTACATTTTTTTATAGATATTAAAAATTTAGGCTCTATGACTTGTGTACTATGTCTATTATAGTTGATAGGATTTCAAATCGATGCATGCATTCAAATTCAAATTAGGTCCACCCACGCCCCACGGCCAGTGTAGCTGTCAGCTCACCTTTCTTCAGAAGTGTGAAAGCTTTTGCCGGTGAAGGTGTGTTTTACGATCGGTCCGTAAAGAAGCATTGATCAGTTCAAAATTACATAAGAACAGGTTCTTTTGAATAACCTATGGATTGGCACCATGTATGATAGTGATACTTCAATGTTTTACTAATACTAATAGGACTCAACATTGAACTAGAGGAAGAGTCTAAAAATATTCTCTACTTTGCAACAATGTCAGTTGACTCACTTGACTGTCAACTCAGGTAAGTCAGTTGATTGAATTGAAGTTGATTCATGGTTGACTTGGTTCAGCATGGGAGTTCATTCCACTTCCAGCTCCCTTCAGTCCCTTGCTGGGTCAGGGCCTCAGCCATCAGGCCGATCAGGGGTAATTCCTGAAAGCTGAAGATGCTGAAGCCTGAAGTTGCTGAAGTGGTAAACGATTGTTCAATGGAATGCTGTGGCTGAACAAATTCCATAAATTTTTCAATATGTAGACTAGTAGAGTAACGGTATTGATTATCCTATGTTGAAAAATTGAGCATTGAAACTATGCATATCTCTTTCCTGTGTTCTACAATTAAAAAAATTTTAAAATCTTATAACTAACAAATGCTAAAAACAATACTATACTAATGTTTTGATGTTCAAATGATTCAACTTGTAGCCTTGCCCTTATCTTGGACCTTGGTTTGTACTGTTGAATCTTGTGAGTTATAAGTTATGACTAGGTATAAAGATAGTAGTACAGAAATCAATCAATCATATTTTAATGTAAACCACTTTAACCACTACACAGCACTTGTCAATAAAACATAGCACTTGCTAACAGATTACTTGAAGTAGTAATGAATATGTATGGCCTAACAGGTTCAACACTTGTATCTCAGATTCAGAACACATTAAACCCAGAGAGTAAGGTCAGTCAGTCACTACGGTGTGATGAAATAAGGTGAATCAATAATTTATCTTATGAATATCACCACTCTGTGCTTGACAATAACATTTTGAACCTGCCAATAGTGATACAAACAACAATGACTCATGACTGCATACGATTTAACTAGTTCAATGCTTATATTGTGGAAAATAATAAACCCAGAGAGTGCGGTTCTGTGCGGAGTGGTGAAATAAAGTGAATCAATCACTTATTTAATATAAATCAGCACTCTGCACTTGACCATAATATTTAGCACTTGCCAATAGTGCTTAAAGCAAAATGATCTCATACACTTTAACTAGGTCAATGCTTATATCTTGGAAAATATTAAACCCAGAGACCTGACTTTAAATGGATTTGTATGTCTGTTGATAAACTCTGCAGATGGCTTAGGCTGCAAAAAATTACCACCAATTCTGCAGGATACACGAATAAAATATTTTAAATCTAATTCTGCAATCTGTAGCACCATTGAATAAGTGAAATCTGTGCAAAGTTCAAAGCATGAAATAAGGAAAATTAGTCAGATGAATGCCAGATCTGCGAAAGAATACTGGAACAGTACCGTCAACCGGGGCAACTTGGGACTGGCGGGGCAACTTGGGACGCACCTCTGACACGTCGTAAAACAGTCATAGTAGCGAAACTAATTGGAATATTGCTAAACTAAATATAGTGGCCTAAACAACAACATTTTTCCTATCTATGTAGTATAAAGGAAGTTGAAAAATACGACATATACTAGCTTTGAAAAATTCCTGAAAAAAATGGTGAAAAACGCTATTTTGAAAAGTTACTTCTGCTAAGGTCTGTAGCAAAAAAAATATTTGCCGTATTAAAAAATTTTACTTACATAAAAGTTGCACCCAGGTGTCGGCTTGAAAACATAATTGACAGATTTTGCCTATCTCATTACAAAAAAAATGGTGGCCATTTCTGCACGGCGGGGCTACTCGGGCCACCCCCCCGGGGCTAGTCGGGACACCTCCAAAAACGCATTTACGGTAGAACCTCAGTTAGCAAAAGCTCCAATTACGAAAAAAATTGATTAAAAACAAAGAATATTGATCACATTTTCCTTGCTCAGCGAAAAAAAAATTTCACTTATCATCTCACAAATTACAAGCCGTCCTGTAAGCTTACAGATACAGAAAAAAATGCTATGATGCTGCTGATATGAAGCTTGCAGTGGACAAGGTTGTTGTAAATGCTCAATGGCATGTTCATGGATACCCTAATATCCCATCAATAATACAGTAATATCCCATCAATAATACAGTACCGTCAACTGGGTGATTCTGCCAGGTGATTCTGCCATGTTAATAATGATGGCCAAAGTGGGGTAATAAACGGTCATAAACAGTGGCCAAAGTCACTTAGGCGTTTATGACCTGGTTTACAACCCTGGCGTTTATGACCCCGACGTTTACGACCCCGCGTTTATGACCCCAGCATGAATCAAAAACACAGCCCAAGTCACCCCAGTTGACGGTAATTAATGTTTATGGTAATATCATATCAATGAAGGAAAAACTAGTAAAAGTCACAGAAAATGTCATTTATTCTACCTCTACATTGTCTACAATGAAAGAGGAGGACTTCAGAGTACTGTTAGTAATGGATGAGTATGCTCTGCATGCTTCAAATATTTTAAAATAAAGTTTTATTCCCATTGTCCCGAGTAGCCCCGTTCGACGGGGCTACTCGGGACACTCTTTTTTTGCTTCTGGCACCTTACGAATAGCATATGGAATTTTTTTTAAGATGCCATTCGATAGCCCTCGCAAAGAGCCATAAAATGAGCCTAAACTTGTTTATGAAATGTTTCATCCTAAGAAGTTATTAACAAAAAACGCTCAAAACCGTCCCGAGTAGCCCCGGTTGACGGTAGCTATTGTACCAAGCGCAACGTTCATCATCGGTTCATGCTCGTTGACCGTCCTATTGCTCGAGAAACAAATAGTATGACATGAATGCAAAACCGACATGATGTAATACTGACCACAGAGCAGGCTTACGAATATGATAGACTGTCTGGCCCACCCAAAAGGGTGCGTAATTAACAAAAAGACATTCCTTTACAACTCAGTAAATTGTTTGCTGAGATGTGCTTTTTCTGTATTATATAGGAACATGTTGGGAACTTTGGTTTGGCTCTCAAGAGTCAAGACTCAAGACTGTCATGGAATATTGCTGCACTGTTGAGTTCATTTAAATTTTCAAATGTTTCTGCATCAAAACCAAGGATTAATTCATCAAGTTGATTATGGTTTCTCAGTATTTCCAGCAGTTTAATACTATAGGTCACATTTTTCCTGCTCTACAAAATGTGGGAAGACTGCCCCTATGTACCCCGCCCATCCCTTCTTACCTACTCTAATTGATGGTACCGTCAACCGGGGCTACTCGGGACAATTTCGAACATTTTTCATTCATAACTTCTTACCATGAAACATTTCATAAACAAGTTTAGGCTCATTTTAAAGCTCTTTGCAAGGGCTATCACATGGCTTCTCCACAAAAATTCCATATGCTATTTGTAAGGTGCCAGAAGCAAAAAAAGAGTGTCCCGAGTAGCCCCGTCGAACAGGGCTACTCGGGACACTTGGAATAAAACTTCATTTTAAAACATTTGAAGCATGCAGAGCATACTCATCCATTACTGACAGTACTCTGAAGTCCTCTTTCACTGTAGATGATGTAGTGGTAGAATAAATGACATTTTCTGTGATTTTTACTTGTTTTTCCTTTATTGATATGATATTACCATATACTAAATTAATTACCATATTGTTGATGTGATATTACTTTATTATTGATGCAATATTACCATATCCATGAACATGCCATTGAGCATTTACAACAACCTTGTCCAACACAAGCTTCATATCAGCAGCCTTATAGCATTTTTTCTGTATCTGTTAGCTTACAGGATGGCTTGTAATTTCACACCATTTTAATTGGGTTAAGTGAATTTACTATAAAAAAAAATTTGTGAAAAACATACCTGAAACAGAAAGGAATATTTCAGTGACAACCAGCATATGTTTTGGAGAAATAAATCATAGTTTAGGTCAATTACTTTTCATTCTATGATGCCTGGTGCACAATTCTATATATGACATTCTATGCACAATTTTGTGATGACCGATGATGCACTATTTTTTTGATGAGTGAAATTTTTTTGCCAAGTGAGGTAAACGTAATCAATATTATTTGTTTTTAATAAATTTTTTCTTAACTGGAGCCTTTGCTAACTGAGGTTCTACTGTAAATGCTTTTTGGGGGTGTCCCGAGTAGCCCCGGTGGGGGGGGTGTCCCGAGTAACCCTGCCATGCAGAAATGGCAGGGCTATGCAAGGTATGCAAATTCCACAAATAAAGTTTTCATGCTGACACTTGTCTGCCACTTTTTTCTAAGCAAAATTTTTTAATATGGCAAATATTTTTTCACTACAGACCTTAACAGAAGTAATTTTTCAAAATATAGTTTTTCACCATTTTTTTCAGGAATTTTTCAAAGCTAGTAAATGTAGTAATTTTTAACTTCCTTTATACTACATAGATAGGAAAAATGTTGACGTTTATGCCACTATATTTAGTTTTGCAATATTCCAATTAGTTTTGCTACTAAAACGGTTTTACGCCGTGTCGAAGGACTGTCCCGAGTTACCGTAAAATGGGGTAACTTAGACCACTTTTTTTTGGTGCATTGTAGTAGAACTCTTCTAGTTACATATGCAAATGACAAACTTGAGGAAAGTGTCATAGTTTGCAAATGGGGGGCACCGCCCCATAATGAGGGAAATGTGACTACCTAATGGCAGCCCTGATGGGGTAAAATTGACTGGCTTGGAAATTAAGTCAAAATTACCATATATAAGACTCTGTAGAGTCTGAAACATAAAATGGGTCACATTTTTAATTTTTTAACCTATTAGATATGCAAACTTTTCAAATCTTCCTATTGTGTTATGTAGCCTCAGTATTAGGCCTTTAATGCCCATTGAAAAAAATTTTCTATGTCAAATAGTTTTTGAGTTGTGGGGGTTTTTGTTAAAAAAACGAAAAGTGGTCTAAGTTACCCTGCCGGTCTAAGTTACCCCATTTTACGGTACCCCGCCCGTCCCGAGTAGCCCCCATTGATGGTATATATTTTTTGTTGTAGATTTTGCCACTGTTGTATTTTATTTGGCTATTATCATGAAAGTGATTAATTTGTGGAATTATTTTATTTCTTCAGGCTTCACCCTGTAAACTTTACTGCACTTTTGTGGACTAGCAGCTATGCACACCTGAAAATAGAGGAGTGAAAATTACATGAGCATTTTTTCCATTTGGTATTCCTATTAGCTTAAACATTTAGTTACCAGGAATAATAGTTAGTCAGTAGTCTTGCTGTGCAATGCGTTATGCCCAGATTGTGCTTGGCCCAGCAGGGGCTGGCAAATCTACATACTGTGCTGCACTGCAGCAGTTTGGTTTGGACACCCAGAGAGTAATAAAGTAAGTTTTTCTATAAATAAGTTTCCCAAAACATGCTACCTTCATCCATTTATCTAATTTTTTCTTGAAATTTTGTTTTGTATAGTGTGCATTTTACTTGCATTGTGTTGAAGCCATTAAAATAAATTCAGTTATTTACTATCAATGCAGGTTTTGTTGAAGATCAGAGCGTATTTGTATTCACAATGGGCTTATTGTTCCACTCAATTGGGCAAATTTGACATGCAAGACTTTTAAGTTTAAATATAAGGTTTCCAAGATACTTTTTTTCAAATCCTGGGATTTCAAGTGCATATTATTCATTGTTTACTAAGATTCAATTAAGTTAAGGTTTTTCCTTGCTCAATCAAGTGTAGGTAGTAATTTTGCAATGACCTAAGTACATACTTTAGGTGTTATGGATAAGATTTACATGATTACCTTCAACAGCACCTGCACTAAAGAACTAATTCTGACAATCCACATCAGTATTCCCTACTGCATACCATTTAAATAGATTCCTTGCCCTGGAAAATAAATTGGATTTGATCTGAACTCATAGTTTTAAAAATTGCTCTGTTCCTTATCTTGTCAGAAGCTAAATTTAAATATCTGTTTGTCTTTTCAGTGTGGTGAATCTGGACCCAGCGGCAGAGAAGTTTGCATATGATGCCTGTGCAGACATCCGTGAGCTTGTTGAAGTGGATGATGTTATGGAAGTTGAGGATGTCACCTATGGACCAAATGGAGGTCTTATATTTTGTATGGAATATTTAATGCAACCTGATGGCTTGGAATGGTTAAGGGTGAGATTCAATAAGCTGTTTACTGACTTACTGAATAATTTGTGCTTGTTATTTAAACATAATCCAAATTAAACATAATCAAATTAAATAGAGAATCCTGCTGGCTTTTTTGCCAAGAGCTATATATACCTCTACAAAGATCAATTGCTGGTCTAGTACATTAAACCACAATCCATCAAATCTAACTTAAAATTTAGCTATAGTAATTACTCCTGATTAGGAATTTCAGCTCATAAGGTGGCATTAACTCTTTGTTTGGCTTCTGCTGTGGCTGCCATCACCACCCACCTACTCCTTGCTGTAGACCCCCACCAATGAATATTGCAATGCTAGATTGAAAAGATGCTAAAATGTATACCTGTGTAAACAATGAATTAATCAAACTGCTGTGCAAGTGTGCTAGTTATGAGATTTTATTTTAGAAACGAGCTATTGTAAGAGGACGAAATTCGTAGTAGATGGCAAAATTTGCTTATTTTTAGAATTTTGATTGATGACCAGTGCAAACATTTGATTAAAATTCAAACAGTTCTTGTGATGAGGTTGGTAGGAGGCAGGTTAGATAGTAATTTGGATATATAAAACAATGTTTTGAATGCAACAACATTCATTTTCAATTATAAGAAGCAATACAAAATGAAATTTGACCAGACATAAGTGAATAATTCTAGTAAGTAGGTTGCAACTCAAAAGAAACACCATTCACACACACACACTTGTGCCTATTACATGCTGATAACCCTGAAACCCATCAGAATTGAACATTTTCATGTGAACTACTATATATTGTGCATGCTACTAGCAAAGTCACATTGCAGCGCTGTGTTGGATGATGTGCACAAAAGATTTGCAATTAATGACATTCATTGTGTATGTACATTTATTTTGAAACAGGATGCCCTTGGTGAAACTGAAGACGACTACACATTATTTGACTGCCCTGGACAAATAGAACTTTATACTCACATGGATGTTATGAGAAAGTAAGTTCAATGTGCAGATTATGTGAGTCAATAAAGGCTTTCAGACAATTCACCACTTTATTGGTATCATTTTATCAACATGGGATGCACACGCCTATGCATGTTTCACACAATCAGAAACCAATCTAATTGCATAAGTTTAATCATGAAAGATGTAATTTTAGTACAATACTTTTAACCAGTGCAACTTTGAGCAAATTCACGTGAAACGAGACAACAAATTTTATGAAAATGTGATCAATAGTTATTGTCTCAATGACTTGCATCTTCCTGCCATGTAAGAAAATTGAACATGTATAATGAGCTTGAATCAGCTATGGAAGAAACCAGTAATGAAAAGAGACGGTAAACACTGGCAAAAGGCCCCGTCATGCTTGCCTGCAGTCAAGTGACTTCTTCATCTTGTTGGATCTTTGATATTTTTTGAAAGAATAAAGTAAACATAAATGATTGGTGTTTCATTTACAGGAAGTTCTTATTGTCATCAGTAATTGAATTGCCAGGTTCGTTGGTGTTTGTGGTATCTTAATGCTTTTAATCTCGTTACGTCATCAAGAAGCTCCTTCAAGAGTTTCAACATTCCTTGGTTCATAAATAAGTAATGGTGTATGCAAATCATATGAATATATAAAATATAAAAAGAGAAAAAAATATATATAGATATAAAAAAATTTTCCAGTTGTAATTAATTACTTGAATAATTTTGTGATGTTTATACATTTATCTTCCAGTTTGTTGGATGTACTTCAGTCTTGGAACTTCCGCATTTGTGCTGTGTTCGTCCTGGACTCCCACTACATGGTGGACGCCAGTAAATTCCTATCTGGTTCTCTCACCGCACTCTCGGCCATGATGAAGCTCGAGGTGCATTATTCATCTTTCCATCATGACAAATTAAATAAAAATTCAATTAGGAAATTACAAGCCCTTGAATAGTGCAACATTGCAAGTATTAGGTTTTTTTAATCAGAATATTTTGGTTTGTAGGTACCCCACGTTAATTTACTGAGCAAGATGGACTTGCTGGACAAGAAGTCGCGCTCACAGCTAAGCATGTTCCTGGACCCTGACGTTCACGAGTTGCTGTCCTCAGACCACATGGGGTCGCGCTTTAATAAGAAGTGAGTCAAAGCTGTAATTAAGATGTGTCTTCTCTAAAGTCTTGCTGCCAACACTGGCTCTTTCATTCAGCCAATCTAACTTTGAAATCGTGTAATACCTAGTAGCTAATGAAATACTAAGGTAACTGAACAAAATCTTGCAAATAACGAGGTACGAAAAAAAAATTGTGGCAGTAGAAGCTTTTGCTTGTTAAGTATGAATTTGCCAAATTTGACTACTACAAATCTTTATACTGATCTCCTACTGTCCATCCGCAAATGATAGCCCATCCATTCACATTCATAGGTGAAAAGTGAAGCATTTCACTGTTTTCATACATTATAGCTCATTTCGAGATTCTGGGTGACAGGTACCAGAAGCTGACTGCGGCGCTAGCGAGGACGCTGGACGACCACTCCCTGGTCCGCTACGTGCCCATCAACATCAGGAAGCAGGACTCCATACAGAACGCCCTTATAATGGTCAGTACTCCGTGTCCATACAGAACGCCCTTATAATGGTCAGTGCTCCGTGTCCATACAGAATGCCCTTATAATGGTCAGTACTCCGTGTCCATACAGAACGCCCTTATAATGGTCAGTACTCGGTGTCCATACGGAACGCCCTTATAATGGTCAGTACTCGGTGTCCATACAGAACGTCCTTATAATGGTCAGTACTCCGTGTCCATACAGAACGCCCTTATAATGGCCAGTACTCGGTGTCCATACAGAACGCCCTTATAATGGTCTGTGTTAACACATTATAGCATATTGCTATTGCTTGTTTGTTTCAACCTTGTAATCAAATTATGAACAATTGGGCTGTAAATCAACAAATTCGTTGAGTATGTTTAAGATCATCGCCATCGGTATGCTTAATCGGTCCATGAAACTATAAACAAACTGTGAAAATTTTTGGAACATGACCTCGTATCCCCACTGTAAATACGGGTATCTCTTTTGTATGGCCACTGCCTCAGATAATTTAAAAAACTACTCACACTTTTCAAAAAACTACTCGCACTATTTTTTTATCATTCAATTATTTTTTGCGGGCTTTCTGTTTCTCTATTAGTTGGTGGTTCCGGTGCACTAGGTAGTTGAAATCACAACTGTTATAAATATTTGTGTAATTTTATACTTCTTCAAATTGGTACTCTGTTCTAATCTGCCTTTTTTTGAATAAGCAGTTTTGTTGTAAAGAATAAGCAAGTACCAATTCTCAACTCGCGTTTCAAGTTTGGGGAGATTTTTCATGTATTCTATATCTCTCATACCTTGTAACTGTTTTACCCGCTCGTCCTCTAACCAAGCTATCTTGAATTTTCCCTCTTCACGTTTCAGATAGATTCACGCATTCAATACGGCGAGGATCTCGATGTCAAAACCAAGGACTTTGATTACGCAGACCCGGAAGACCAAGAGCCTCCTGGAGATGATTGAACTCGAATATATTAGTGTCCGTGGTGATGCTTTCTTTATCCTTTGGTGATGCAGTTGTGGCGTTTTACTGTGTTAATCATACGAGTCGAGCAACGTTTTAATTCATGTTTAGGCCACTAATGCATCAATTCAATGGGAGCGTTTCGTTACATTTTCCGTGTTAATTTTTTCAATTCATGCATTGGTGACCTGAAATGTTTTGGGAGTAGCAGATAATATATGGAGTGTTTTACGGTTCGAATGTCGTGTAGCTTCATTTCATTGCTTCTATATGATCAAGCCAAGGTATTTTGCCTACAGCAAATGCCGATAACGCCATCACTAAAGTCGCCGGCCTTCAATAGAAACCATCTATATACATAAACAAAACTGAAGCACATTTCTAGCTCGTCCGAAACAGTTTTTTTCATCAGTTATTATGTGGCGATTGAACTTACAAATCGTAGTACTGTCAAGTATTAGACGTTTTACAGTAGCGAGGGTCGCATTGAATGCAGTTTCTTCTGACTGTTAATTTGTGTGGCATTAACCTTAGCTTAGCTGCTGTTCAAAATTTGTTCTACTCTTCTTTAGGAACTAATTCAAGCATAGCTTTTCAATTTTTTTGTCAAATTAATTGTGAAGTGGCCGTCTCAGCAGTATATTCTTTCTTAACGGCGTTTTATCAAATATTTGACGTCATTATGTTTGAAGTCACTTTTGAGAAGCCTTCCACAGCACACAGCGCTAGATATAAAATATATAGTTTGTCATACATGTTCCGTTTGTTAGTCGTAGAGATTCCTCTTGGCGTGCACAGTTCAAATTTATGTCCGAATTTTAGTTTCAGTTTAAAAGTTCATGAACTGAATCGGGTTCGCCAAGCTTCCGCATTTCCATCTAATCATCGTAACGCCATGTTTGTTCACGGTTGAATTAATTCAACCATGTGTTTTTTGCACACCCGCGTCATACTTTACTCCTTTGTTCCTACACGTTTGTTTGTTTTGGTAGCAATGGAGAAAGAAAAAGCAGTAGCGATTACGCTATTGTCAAAAACTCCATCCTTTAGCGAGAGACCGGTATTTAAGGAAATTGTTCGACATCAACGATCATGATCCCTACGAAGTGCCGGCACAGCAGTGGTGTGCAGATTTTGTAAGCCTGCCTCCCGTTTCACAGTCATTTTCTGAACTTTTTGGTGTCAGCCAATACACCTTGCAAGAATTAAAGGAATAAAAGACGCTCGAAGCTTTCGAGCAATTTGTGGATGGATGGGAGCAAGAGATATAGCCTACACCCTTAAACCAGCCAACTGTAACAACGCAGTTATAGCTGCCAAGGTGAGGATAATGGATCATGACAATGTAATCTGACATGTATATCTTATTACTTTTTATTCTTACTTATGTAGCTTTTCTAGTGGCAAGTAACAGATTTTGGCTCAAAAATATGTATAATATAAATTAGGTATATAAGGTAGTATCGTATATCATGAATTATATTCACGGCTGGTAAACTGAAATACGATACGTATATCAGAACGATATGTAAACTGATACGATCGATATACTGTCATATACACGGCATTCACGGCTGGTAAACTGGAGAAACGCATTCCATTGTCCAGTTTTCTGCTTATATAGTCGTGAAAAATATTAGTGCCTCCAACAACGGCGCAGTAGCGAGTAGCGTCCCATCTTCAAGCAAAAACTCCAAAAAGAGACAAGCGCAGTAGATAGAAAACGTAGGCGAAAGCTGGACCATGCAACAAATGTGGCGGCCGATCCCACTATTCATCTCGCGATTCGGTGCCGTGACGTCATCCTTTCGAAGCCGATTTTGAATTATAAGTGAGAGTAATTAGTAAACCCGTTTTTTTCTGTTTTATCAGCAAATCTCTCTTAAGTTTAATAACCTTAAGATTATAAGGATAAAATGTTCTTATCAAGGAAAACTGTTCTGCTAATACATCAGTCCCATGGTTGAACTATATAAAGTTGACCCGCGAGGACATCCGTCTTTCAGTTCAGCTTTCTTGTTACGTCACTGAGATCGAGAAACGTAAACAAACCCATCATTCCCATGGCGGATTGGTCTACTGGTTTGATCGCATTTCGGTGACTGGTTAATTCCCGTGCCGTCACTGAGATCAGTGACAACACAGGCGAACAACAAGCTACATCCGCAAAAATGAGCATCTCATGGCTCAACCTTATACTAGTTCAACCATGGGTTGACCAGTTCGAGCGCATTTCGGTGATTGGTTAATGCCCGTGACGTCACTGAGATCAGTGACGTCACCCGCAAAACAACAAACTCCATCCGCGAGAATGAGCTTCTTATGGGTCAACCTTATACTAGTTAAACCATGCATCAGTCCTAACTCCTACGTCACTACGAATCAGTCGTCCAACTTATAGACGCCGAAAATTATTCTGTTCATATGTTCTTCATAGGGTAATTTGTATGCCGAACTTGACTCTGTTCAAATAACTATTCCGAACTTCACTCGGTTATACTTAGAATAGAGTAAGTTTGTAGCAATATAGCAGTACAATTTCTTTAATTTGCTCCACATACGGCATCAAATAGAATCTTAGACTCAACCTCTCTTATCGTGTCCTCGTACAATCTATAAGATTGAGCAAAAAAATTGTTTTCGCTTATTCGTGAACCGAATTGACATTTTATTTCTAACATATCTCTTACATTATGCTAATTAGTTCACTTAATCTCGTCATTCTTTTTCTTTAATATCTATAAGCTTTATTATTTTTTATCTCGAGACGTGTGTTACATTGAACAGCTTAGCTTGTTTCCTAGTATGCTCACCTCCTGCAAGAAACTCTTCTCTAAAGTAAAATAGTTTATCTAATGATTGACCTGCTATTATAGTGATAATATATGCCCCTCTAAGTCTAATCATCGTAACTTATGACCGGAAATTTATCACATATTGCGTTTTGATCTTCGGCTGAAGCAAATTAGTTCCTATTCGCCATATTGGATTTCATCACTTCAATCCTCTCCCTCTTAAGCAATTAACGATTCAAGCACTAAATTCACCAATGAAAATGGCTAATGGAGTATTCAGGGGTCGATAGCAGAAATCCTGTTCATGTTTTTACCCACTAATCGCACTCCATGTCGTCAACTAAGTCGTCCACGTTAGCGTCTTCGCATGAACGAAGTTTTTCGTTCATGCCAGTCGGGTTCTTTACGCTCGGTTCCACGTCAAGTTCATTTATTCGTCGATGAGTCGGTTCATGCATCCCGTTGGTTTTCCCGTTAATGTGGTAGCCGTTTGCGCTATTCCCGTTGGTTTTCGGCGATTCGTCAATCTCGTTGATTGTGGGTTCCTCAGTTTGTATGCTATTTGAGATTGAATCTTCGTGAATTTTAGTTTGTTTTTGTCCTGTGTGATGGGCAATGCAGAAAGATGTCATCCTCTGGCAAGCCACTTTCATGGTCTCCTCAGGCACGGTCAGCACGATGCGGAAGAAGTTCTTGATATTGAAGCACTGAAAAACCAAAATTAGTATTCAATTGCCGTACTTAAGAGAAAGAAATTTCAAAATATTCCCGACAAGTTCGCATTTTTTCGCAGTGTTATGTACGACTTGCACAACTAGGAGGTAACTTTTGAACGGTCTTAAGACTTTCAATAAATGCGTACGCAATGTTCACACTCATTTGTGTAGCATTATGCATTGTTAAAAAACTGTTGCGTAGACCAACTCGTATAAAAGCCATGGATATCCTCGAAAACTAGTGTCTCAATTAGAAGCTGTCTAATTGTGATACCACATTTTAAGAAAAAGTTGCGAGTTATCGGCAGAGGCGCCCAAACCAGTAACTAGATAACGACTGTATACCTCAAAAAATTGCAAGATAGGGACAGCAGACATAAAAAAAGCGCCGGACGTCAAGAACTTTACAAGGTCTTCAGCCGTTATCTAGTTACTTTTTTGATCTTCCGCGATTTGACGATAACTTGCAACTTTTTCTCATCGTGCGACAACATAACTTGACCACTTTTTATCGAGACGCAAGTTTTCAAGGACATCAGTTGCCTTCATAAACGTATGTTTTTATTTATGCAACTTTGTCTCAGCAATTAACCACATACAAATTCACAAAAATATTAAATGAAATTTTAATTAGCATGAAATTCACTGGAGGGCTGAAAATTTGATATGTAGGAAATCAATTCAGCTGACGATTTGTGGTTCTATCCAACATTCAGAGTCAGTGATGTCGAATCATTAACTGAATCTTATATCACCGAATAGTGCACCATAGCATCCCTAACAAAATTTAGAGTCGCCCCAGCTTCTGGTAATCCAAATCAGAAGCTGACGCGTCTGTAAATATTCACTGGGTAACAAAATTCAGAGTCGCCCCAGCTTCTGGTAATCCAAATCAGAAGCTGACACGTCTGTAAATTTTCACTGGGATAAGAAAGTAATACGGCATTGATATGATGAGATGTAAGCATCGAATTGAGATGAATTTCGGGATGCTGGCTGTTGATCTTTGAATAAGTAGCCATATATCGGCAATTGATCTCAAGTAAAGTAGCGATGTATCGCTGTTGATCTCGAGTAAAGTAGCGATGAACCGGCTGATGATCGAAAGATTATAAAATGAGATTATATCGAGTGGGAATTTTAAGAGTTCGGGAAACTGGCTACGGATCTCTTTAAAAGATTGCTAGACTTGTTCGAAATACTCATCAAAAATAAAAAGCATGATGAAATGAAGTGATCGGTATCGTAAAATGTGCAAGTTCGTAAAAATGTGCAAGAAATCATCACGAGGTAGGTTTTACTTGATAATATTTACCTTCCCCGGTAGGCAGAAGACAGATTCCTCGGCAACCATCGCCTCCACAAACTCGAGGTCAGTCGCGAATTCTGGGAACTCGTCCATGTTGATCCTGACCTGGAAAAATATATTATTTCATTAACATAAATTTAAATTCAAAATGTATGCAACGAGACATAGAAAAATATTTTTTCTTTTTTTGTCCAAACTATAAGACAATATCATAAGTTTCAAACTATCGCATGAAACTTACGATAATGTTATCTTATATTAATAATGTAATGAAATTATCTATTCTTTCGTCTCACTTTCTTTTTAGTGCTTCAACGGTAAAACAATGAGAACTTTATGTACCTTATTGATAATCATTAGGTGAATTTAATATTTCTTTTGATTTTGCCTCGCTATTTTCACTCACCATCATGTACATGGCGCCTTGTGGGAGAATAGGCGTTAATCCTGGCATTTTCTGCACCGACTCGTAGCAATACCTTGCGTTCACCTGTTTAAAAATTTAAAAAGATCAAGTTTTAGCTGAGGAGATGAATTTTTCACAACAAGCCGTTGAATGGCAGCACCGTTAAAGACCATGAAATCAGTTTGTGGAGTATTCACCCTTCCGCTCATTTCTCACTGTTAACAAATGGACTTGTTTCATGTCAATCTAGTTTATTCCTAAGATTCACCAGAATATATATAACTGTATTTTTGTGAGGGTCAATTCTTGGGGTATTTTTAAATTACATATATGCATTTTGTGAGGGTATCTGTAAATTTCTATAACTGCATTTATTGGGGGTAAGTGCTTAGAGTATCTGAAAATTAAAATATAAATTCCTGATACCTGAATTTTCTTCTTTTCTTCTGACAATATTTTAACACGTTTTTCTTAGCTTAGCTTCGCGTTTGTTTGTTTGTTTGTTTGTTTGTTTGTTTGTTTGTTTGTTTGTTTGTTTGTTTGTTTGTTTGTTGTTAACATTGACAACGAAAATTAGCCCACTTCTGATTGCTCTAGAGATCTGAAATTCGGCATGCAGGCTATTTTCGCCTAACAATTTCAGATACAATCATAAAAACTAGCAATTAGAGACCTAAATTAGCTTAATTGAGTAAAGTATATATAAATAGTATATATGTATATAGTATGACGTGCGGGCGCTGACGTTATAGACCAGCAGGCGCTTATACGCTGCGTATCATCGATACGTACGTCAAGGCAAGTAAATTGGCTCGCAACAACGTTTTTCATGTGTAGCAACGGACTAAAAAGGAGAAAATAAAATACTTAAAAAAAAACTTTCAAAAAAACACGTTTTTCTTGTGGACTAAAAAGTCGAAAATAAATTATGGCTCACCCCAAAAAACGTGGGTCGGGCTCTACGTTCACCATCAAATTTCCAAAATTCGTGTGTTGTGTGCTTTTCGCTTTAATCATAAATCTGCCCGACACACGTTTTTTGGGGCGAGCCATAATTTATTTTCGACTTTTTAGTCCACAAGAAAAACGTGGTTTTTTTGAAAGTTTTTTTTTAAGTATTTTATTAAACACTTTGAACAGCTCTGCATATTTTTATTCGTCCCATTCGTTTGAGAATTACCGAATATTGATCTCCTTCTGCAGTGGTAAATTATTTACAGGAAATATTTTATTTACGAACTCGCAGCGATTCTGATTATGACCTGTATGCAAGAGCTCGAAATCAAGCTAAAAAAGTTTGTCGCACTGCAGTGAAAAACTTCGAAAAAAATATTGCTAAAAATGCAAAAAAGAATCCGAAAGCCTTCTATTTGTACGCTAGTTGGAAGTGCAAGTAAAAGGACGGTATATCTAATTTGAAAGTAGACCAACGAAAGATTTCCTCTGATGAGGGCATGGCTAACGTTCTTAATCAGTTCTTCAGCATTGTATTCACAGATGAGGACTTGAACAGTATTCCAGATATTGAGGAGCGCCCAGTCGGCTCGAAGTTAACAGGTTTTGAAATGCACGAAGAAGAGGCTCTCAAGCGCCTGGTAGCTCAAAATCCCAACAAGTCATGTGGACCAGACGGCTTCCATCCCAGATTGCTCAAAGAATTAGCAACCGTTCTGGCCGGCCCACTGACAGTATTCTTTCAAAAAAACCTTGAACGAGGGAACTTTGCCGTCCGACTGGAAAGAAGCTCAAGTAACACCATTGTTAAAAAAAAAGATGACAAAAGCAGCCCCGGCAACTATCGCCCTGTCAGTCTGACAAGTGTTGTTTGTAAGCTAATGGAATCTGTTGTGAGGGATAGGATTATCGATCACTTGACTGCTCACCATCTCATATCAGATTGTCAACATGGTTTTATTGCTGGTAGATCCTGCACCACTAACTTATTATCTACGTTGAACGATTGGAATCGCCTGCTGGACGAAAGGGAGCCAGTGGATGCATTGTACCTCGATTTTGCCAAAGCATTTGGCAGTGTTCCGCATGAGCAGCTGTTGCGTAAAGGGAAGTCTTTGGGAATTGAGGGAAACGTACTCCAATGGATCAGAGATTTTCTAGTAGGGAGACGACAACGTGTCAGTATTAACTGAACCGTGTCAGACTGGGCAACAGTGCGCAGTGGCGTGCCACAAGGAAGCGTTCTTGGGCCTATTTTGTTCGTTGCTTTTATAAACGATCTGCCAGAAGCAGTGTCCAGCGTGTGCTCCATATATGCCGACGACACAAAAGTTTATAATTCAGTGAAGGATGCGTCAAACAAAGCGCAATTGAAAGATGATCTTCACAGTTTAGTTAACTGGGCTGATACGTGGCAGCTGCGGTTTAATGCTGACAAGTGTAAAGTACTTCACCTCGGGAAGAACAATGAACAGCAAGATTACAGTATGAGAATACATGGTTGCAACGAGAGAGTAATTATTGAAAAGTCTAGTGTGGAAAAAGATCTCGGAGTTTATGTCGACAAGGAGCTGAAATTTTCTAAGCATGTTGAAACGCAAGCTAACACATCCAACAAACTTCTTGGACTAATCAGGCGCTCATACGAGTTCCTAGATGCAGTAGCGACGAAGCAGCTGTTTGTTGCTGTCGTGCGCCCGAATCTAGAGTTTGGAAACGTTGTGTGGTCACCGAGATTTGAAAAGTACAAAAATTTAATAGAGAATGTTCAAAGACGTGAAACAAAGATAATTCCAGCCTTGAAGGGCAAGACCTATGAAGAAATATTATGAAGCTTCCAAGCCTCAGTTATCGACGTCTGCATGGGGACCTCGTTGAAGTATACAAGTATACTCATGGTTTATACAAGGTCCCCGAAGGATTACTAAAATTTGAAACAAGAACCAACACCAGGGGCCACAGCTATAAACTAAAAAAACTGCGCTGCAACTTCTCCACGCGACAAAATTTCTTCTCGCTTCGAATCACCGACATGTGGAACAGCCTCCCCGATGACATCGTTGGCGCTCCAAGTATGAACGCGTTCAAGAACAGACTAGATAAAGCTATGGAAAAATATATGTTCAGATTTGAAATGCCTATAGCACCATATCGAACCCGGTGGAAGTCGAGTAGCTATTCCAAACTATCGCCAGTCATGAAAAGATCCGGTCAAATGACACGAGTTTAGATCTTCTGTGAACAAGGCACGAAAAGGAAAAGAATCGGCGACAGGCCACATCAGGCCTACACTTCAGCGCCGAGATCAATATGTTATGTCATGTTATAATCATAATATTATTTTAATTGATTATCGTAATATTATGTTAATCGTAATATGGAGCTAATTGAGCCCCATAAGCCTCTGCAAAAAAATGAGTGGATAATGTTATCAAAACAGTGAAACGCTTTCCGCATATAGCACTGATGCGCCCTTCTACCAAGAGCAAAATGGATCAGAGTTACTCACTCAGCGCAGAAGTGCAGCGCAATTTGCTCCAAATCACGCTCATTTTTCTCAGTCTGGTGAGACCTAATTTTTTTTGCCGTTTTGAAATAGTCTGAGCCAACGGAACGTATGATCTCCTGCCCTAAATTAAATAACGGAGTCAACTTTAGTTGACGAAAGAACCAAGTGCATACGTGAGTGAATATGAGGATGACGGTTGCAGAGTCGAGCGGCTTTTGTATTCATTGCATGATTATTTTTATCCAAGTGTTAGAAATGTATAAAATAAAACCGAAATTTCATTATCATTGCGAACGAAATTTTTCTTTAAAAATTGCATATTGAGACAATTTTTCAAGAAAATTATTTTCTAGAATTCGTTCTTAACATTAACTTCGATAAAATCATAAAAAGCAAAGAATGAATAGCGACATGCATTAGCGTTCTACGTGATAAGTTTAGAAGGGAACTTCAGTTGCCATCTTTCTAAGCCTAATATTAAGCCCCAATGGATTGCTGCGTAGGTTTAACCAGGAGCTGTTTTGCTGCTTGCGCAGATATAACGGAAATAATTAAGTGAAAGAAAAAAATTTTTTACTTGGCGCATTCCATGAAATCTGGTGCGCATTATGACGCCATAGCGTGGTCTCAGGAGGCAGAAAATATAAGGAACTGAAGGAATAATAACATCGGAAGATTAATATAATTTCTGACGCTCATTGCTAAATGATGTTGATGCCATTCTCATTCACCTTGCGTGTCATCGATCACAAGGTGATCGACCGATCAAGGTATAATTCATTACGTATTTGATCAATCGTCAAGTATTTAGTGAATAATATTAAATGCAAGAATTTGTTAACTATTACTCGCAGTAGCTCGAAGAAGTCGTTGGAGTGTGGAAGTACTTAGATTTATCAGTCTTTAGATATCACTGTCTTACTTAGGCCACCCGATTCACTTAACTAATTACAGCTCATCAGTCTCGTCTAAAAAAACTTACTTTCGACTTATTTGGCAAATGCTCCAACTTTATGTATATTTAAACAGTTTATTTAGGAATTTATAAACTTACCGTGTAGCACACAGTAAAACGTTGGATTTACATGCATTTAATTTAATGCAAGAAAAAGTGGACCTGTAGTATTTTGTTGAACCGGATGAGAGGCTACTTTTTCTAATCACTATCTCTACTGAACAGGTTAGATATCGCAATCAAGGTCTTTCTTCTATCGATTGTTAAAGAACATAAAATTATTAAGTATAATGAAGGAAATTAAGAACAAAATTTCAAAGTAAGAGATAAATTTTAACCCTCTGCGTTAGGCGCTTGTTCAAGGAACATTTAATGCTAGCTTTTTTGTTTCCTTAGTTGCATAATCCTGCAGTAACGCGCCGTGCAAGCGCGCAACGCTGCGTTAAAGAATGTATGTATGTTAGTTTTCGCTATTAATCGCCTTTGAAAACATTGTCCGTTGTAAAAATGTATCATCTATAGTAGGCGGCAGCCTGCATGCAAGTGTTCAGTAGATGCTTGCTTTTTAACGCATTAGAAGGAGCAAAAGCTAATTAAAACCCCTACAGCTGAGAAAAATAGACCGATATAAGAAGTGCGTTCTGCAGTTGGCAACTCGTATTATGAATTTCTAAGGACGCTTGTTCTGAGTCTCCGTGAGAGCTCAGAGTGAGGCTGGAGCCAGCAGGCTGGTTTTTGGTGCCCAAGGGCTTATGTGATTATATGCACCCATGCCGTTCTTGTGCCTGTTGCTGCTGCTGAATATGACTGCGTGCCTCTGCTGCTAACAACTTATATTTGCTTAAGTTTCGCCCAAGTTAGAATACGCTGAATTCAATGTTGGTATTCATTGTTCATATCCGTCTTTGATTGCTTTGGCCTGAAAAAGTATTATGTTTACGTTTGGCTTGTGGTTTGAAAATCCTCTATTAATGCTACAAATTATTGACGCACGATACAGATGTTTGTGGTCCAAAACTTTCATGCGACCTTCTGATCAATCCTTGCAATTTTAAGTATGTTTCTAATGTTGAATATACACTTTCTTCTGGGCTGATTTATATCTACCGAAATGATCGTCTCGTTTACGAAATTATCGATTAAAGTCGAAATTTCAATGATAGGCTGTAAAAATTTTGTTGTAGACAGACAGCTCTGGAGTTGGGCTATCTCTTTTGAAGTTAGTAATATGTTTGTTGCTTGATCGAATTTATTTTCGAAATGTTGTCAACTTATTGGCAGATCTTCGACTCGTTGCGTGCTTAGAGCTTAGGCATGGTGCCTATGTGACGTGCGCGATGCAAAAATGTTCTTCAATATGGCCGCTTACCTTGATCTGAACAGCCTATCGTTGGTACTATGGAGTATTTGCTCTCAACTACAGGCTTGACTCATTACTCATAGTCCGACTCAGGTGGTAAACCTTTACATGTCCTTGCTTACCGATTTGCATTTGCATTCAGCATTCTTAGCCCACCAGAACTACACAGTCTACAGTGCAGCATGGCATGGTTTAGAAAATGTTAGTGAACTTAATGGTGACGAATAGCGGCTCAAATTTCCGCTTTTTCCCATTTATATTCTCCAAATTGAATGAGTAAATAACCTCGTTGAAGATAAAGCTGCGTTGTTTGAAGTCTCAACAGCCAAGGCATCAGCCACTGTTTTTTTACGGTTATCCAATAAAATATAATTAATTTTGGGAATTTTCACAGATGCTTTAGTTTAGTAGGAATTTCGACGGCAAAGTTTTTTAAAATTAATGGACGTCTTCATTTGATAACTTATTGACAGATAAATTTGTACTCATATGAATGTAAACCAAATGAACTTAAGTAATAACATTCATAGTCTTGGAGAGCAAATAACTATATTGAATGAATTTGCATTTTGCACTGAATGACCGAGTAATAATCAGTTTTATTTCTTTGCATGATATGAATGCATTTTCAAATCAAAACGTTTGCATCTGCCATGGCTTCTTAATAAACAGTCAATATCTCACCTGTATTGGAAATTTAGAAGCGAAGAAAACCCCACAAAAAATTCAGCATATCTGGTTGTGATGTTTTCTTTTGCTGAATTTGTGGTGTTTTCTTCGCTTTTAAATTTTTAGTGAATCTGCAATTAAAGCACTCTAGTGACATTCTCACCTGTATTTGTTTGAGCGTGTCGTCGAAGAAAGACTGTGGTGTTTTGCTGAGGATGTCTGGTAGAGCGCCTTGCACAATTGTATTGCTTCCGATGATTCGCTGGCTCAGTGTCCGCAAGCATCCCAAAACCTGAGCGAGATTCATCAGACCAAATGACATCAATTTTAATGCTCATTCAAAACATTGAAATTTGGTCATTGTTCTTTCCATTCATCTATTGGTACCACTAAGTATCAAAAGAGGTCCTACTATTGTTTAATTTTTTTCATTTATGATTGTGATGGATCAAAATTTCACATCTCAATTCCTACAGATATATACTATACGAAAATTAGGCTTTCAATTATTTAAATGATATTATTACTATAATTATCTTATGATATCAAATTTATATTGCGTATAGATCTTGGATAGTGATTAATATGATAAGATTAAGTTGCGTATCTTGAATAGTTATAAAAGCATAAGAACAGACCTCTTGCATGGCTCCGTTCCTATCGTGCACCGCAATCCACCCCATACGCCAGCCCGGCACTAGGAACCTTTTGGTCAGACCTCCACACGCCAGCACCGGCAGCTCGGGGTGCACCGAGGCTATTGGGTGATATTCTTCTCCCTCGAATACCTGCAGTGCAAAAAAACGACATATTTTGAGCCTAAACATCATTGAAACAGTGGTTTTTGATTCGACTGTTTTGGTTGATACGATTACCCGAAAAACAGAACCTGAATAATTCCAATTAGTTTTAGCGTTACGCGGACTGAGAGGCTATTGCAATATGTGACTAATTTGTTGTAATATTTTTTTTATTGAAATATTTAAAATTTGTAGCTTGCTTGCAAGATAATCGGAGAATTGATATAATTTTCTACTTTTGCTAGCGAATTTTCGCCAGTTTGTGTCTCTGAGTTTTATTGCAATACCACGGCTTCGTTAACACTGGCGTCTGCTGCAAAAATTTGCACGTGGTTTATATGTGCGCATATAGTCGTCCTGCCCCAGGCACTGAAGGCACCACTCGGCCGAGGCCTGATTGGATGTTGCTGAAGGTGGGGTGATGGAATCTGGCTTGTGGTTGGTCTGTGGCTACGATAATCATCTTGTGCAGCTCTGGCTTTTATTTTTTTATAGTGGAGGTTATTATGGCTCCTACATTGCTGCAATGGCTTTGTGAAAAAATCGTGTTAATATTTTACTGTAATACTGCGTGCAGTTGCAACCAAATTCACTTATGCAAACGTACATAGTTAACATCAATAATCCAAAAATGAAGTCTGTACAATTCTGCGTAAAATATTTTTGCTTCATAGAGCATTATTTAACATTAACGCTTCCTCACGCCATGATTATTGGATTGATCTTGCAAATTGCATATGATTTTTTTGCTCCCGAGTCCCATCATGGACACTCGGGTAACTTTTACTCATACAACAATGAACTGAACTGGGTCAGACATTCCGGGGTGCGCACAAACTGCAGCTGGAATTTGCTTGCCAAGATATTAGTGAGAAGTAATAATAAATATAAATAAAATGCTTGCAAGAACGCTTTAAAACTTTCCATATGAGTGACGCATGAAACAGCAAAGTTGACTTCATGCGATAGTTTATCTCGATATTCGTTTACTCACAAAATTGTCGTATATTTCGTCTGCGATGATCGGGATCTTGTACTTGACTGCGATATCAGCGATCGCCCTCAAGTGAGACTTAGGGAAGACAGAGCCGCAAGGGTTGCTGGGGTTGTTGATGACGATGGCGACCGTGGTGTCGTCCACGAGGCTTTCCAAGTGAACTAAGTCAACTTGCCAGTTTTTCTCGGGCTTGTAAATGCAGGAGGAATTGTGATAAACGAGGATGACGCATGTTGAGAATAATCGAATGTTGAAAATACATTTAAACAAGGATTTATTATTAATATATCAAGGCTTAGGTTAATATTTAGATGTTTTAAGGACCATGTTCTGCGAACGTGTGATGCAATGACTCTCAATATCATTCAAGTATGCCTTGTGACATCGGAATGATCTGATTACAGAGTATAAGAGCGGTAAACTTCCCCAATCAATTTCATGGAAAAAGTGTCTGCATGCTCACCAGCAAATTATAATATTTGGAAGTGCAGCCGAATCCTTCGGCTAATGTTGTGTAGAGTGGAAATCCAGGCCTGGGGACTAAGATCGAGCTCCCTGGGGAACATAAAACGCTGACGCAAAGGTCCAGAGAGCAACTGCAACCGGAGCATATAATCACATCCTAGTGAACAGACAGTGAATGTGATTCGAATGTGCATCGTTAGGTAAAGGCATAAATTCAGTTTATTAGTGGTAATGTGATAAAGGATGATCATTGTTAGTGTACTGGGTTCAAAATTACTACACACTGCTACACTAGTGTGAATGTCTCTGCAAAAATGTCAGCGTAAAAATTGTACTTCCAGTGAGACAAAAATGTTAGCAAGGCAAAACCTTGTATGATATTCGTATATACGACAGAATTTTAATTTAGCCGAAAGATACTTAATCATACTTTGCAATATCAGGACAAAACTTTTCGAAAGCTATATTCCTTAATTCACGTAAAAAAAACTTCCCATTTCACAACTTAATTTGGGTATATGATTTGTTCTTTATTGAAAACAATCTTCCATCAAGTGGTATCAAATCATCAATCTCTCATCAAGTAGAAACATCTGCGTCAGAGTCCTTCAGTCCGATCTTACTTTGGCCTCGACAGGAGCGCCTGGGCAGGTCATGTATTCCGCTATTGCCTGGCGCGCTTGCAGTGTGCCTGTGTAAAAAATAAACGATCGGCTAGTCTTCAACAGCAGTTTAATTGAAAGATTGATTTTTGTGAATCTTTTCCTTAGAAGATGATTTCCATTCCAATTATTAGACCTACAGAGACCTACATGCAATTGTAACTATGAGTTACATATAACACCGTTAGTATTTCCAAAGTTTTTAATCCCGAAAAAGCTATATCATTGAATTTTTGGAAGCGTACAGAATTATTCTAATTATTTGTATGATAGGCGCATTTTTGTTCCAACCGTTGCTTCGAATGCATTTATTATGTACTAAATACATTTATGTATTTGCATGCTAATAAAATTGCTTCGATCGCTCACCAGTAGCAGGAACATATCCATTGTTCTTGCCACTCCTGACGCTGTCCACGACGGCGTCCACCACAGATTCTGCAGGCCGCAAGTTGCCGAATACTGTTGGGTCGCCTGTTTATGAAGAATATTTCTGCGATTAAACGTTTGCTTTATAAAACTATAGATAGGAAAATGGTGATGCAACTGAAACCATTATTCAGAATGGATTCAATTCAAGTCTACTCACCAGCATTGTCATAATGTGGTCGCAAGAGGCTATTGTGACTGAGTGGGTTTGTGGTGTACGATAGTTTGGTTTTTTACTGCTAGACTTTGCTGTTATGTTTGACGGGGTTTGTCACGTCAAGATTCTTGCGTTGCCTCCTCTATAGTCTATCAACCCTGTCGCACGTCACATCCCCAGTGACAAATTATGTGTATTGGCATAACGCTGTCAATGGTATAACGATCTCATCTCATCTCTAATAACTACAACCATGTGACGAAGATCAGACGACGCGCTCTAGATTCGAATATCGAAGACGATTCCAAGTCTCGAAATTTTCACCAGTGCTTGTTTACAGAATAAAAGAGTCCTTAGCCTTGGTTTGGGAGTGCGAAGCGACATAAAAAAATTATCCAGCAATTTTCGTTCCGCTAAAGAATCGTAATTTATGTTTGGTTTTCATGACACTCCATATTATTAGTAATGGAAATTCTGTCTCAACGCTTTGTCAAGTTCAAAAAATTTAATTTAATAATTTAAAGTTCTAAACTATGAAGAGACGTCGATTTTTAGCTGGACCAAAGTATTTGACATTGACATCTTTCCTCATTGTCGGCCTAGCGATGCTCCGGAGTGACCTTGCATCGTCATGTGCAGCTAATCAGGGCCGAAATATTATAACGTAGAACTGAATGCGGGTGTCTGCTTCAAATTTAATAGAAGTGAAGTTTCAGGGCTCAAAGATGCACGTTTAAATATAGGCTCTTGTGTTTGCAAGCGGAAGGATTAGGTGACATTTTTATGATGTCTTGGCGAAGAAACTATCCATGATCGCATGTTTATTCTGGCGATATGAATTCATTAATGTTGAAACGTGATCGACAGTAGAACCATCAATTCATGCTATTGACCGAACGTATTTGGTCTGTGATAATTCTGAAGGGTTAATCTTAATGCAGTGCAGTCGACACATGCAAATTCTTCTCACCTGTGGCTTCCAAATGCAATGTAGTCGACACTTGGGCAAACATTTCTTACCGGGGGCTTACTGCAAGCCCGGCTCATGCCGGGCTTAAAAAAGGATATATTTTTTAACTTTTCGTATTTCGGATTTCTTATGGATCGGATTTTCTTATCGTAGAACTTCAAACATGGACTCATGAAGAACGCGTGGAGCTTAGGTGCATGGGTGCCTATCTGGTATGATAGTTGGAAGTAGATTTCTCCTTTCATTGCTTTTTCAGAACAAACAAAGTAAGTGATCAGAATAAACAATGAAGAACTGTTGTTTTACTGGATAATTTATTTTTCAGCCGCCGAGAAAAATTGGGAAAATTTTTAAATATTAAGTATTTACAGTGGGTGCGAAAAGTATCTGACACAAAGGAAAAACTTTATTTAATTAAAGCTTATCCAACAAAATAACATTAACAAACACTATTGTTTGTATGAAAAAACAACAATATCATTAAAAATTTACTTGAATTTTGTAAAATTTAAGGTTCTAAATGTATCTAAAACATAGTAAACAAATTAACTCAATACTTCGTCATGTGACCTTTAGCGGCCAAACCTGCTTCTTGCCGATTGGATACTTGTTCACAAGATTAACACATATGCTAATAGTAATTTTAGCCCACTCTTCCTTGCATATTTCTTCCTTGGATCTCCCTCCTGTACCCTCAATTTCAATTCCCGCCACAGATTTTCAATCGGATTGAGGTCAGGTGATTGGCTTGGCTATCCTTATAACTCAATGTCCCTCTCCTGAAACCATGCAAGAGTTGCCCTAGCCGGGTGCTTTATAGGTTCATTGTCTTGTTGGAATATCCAACCTCGAGGCAAGTTCAATTTTTCGGCTGACTTCACGAGACATCTCTCAAGAATGCCCCGATACATTTCGGAGTTCATCCTTCCTTATAAAGACGTGCAACAAGGATAATTCCGGGCTTGAAAGGCTAGTCCTATGAGGAAAGGTTAAAGATTATGAAGCTTCCAAGCCTCAGTTATCCACGTCTGCGTGGGGACCTCATTGAAGTATACAAGTATACTCATGACTTATACAAGGTCCCAGAAGGATTACTAGAATTTGAAACAAGAACCAACACCAGGGGCCACGGCTATAAACAAAAAAACTGCGTTGTAACACATCATGCGACAACATTTCTTCTCGCTTCGAGTCACCGACATGTGGAACAGCCTCCCAGATAGCATCGTTGACGCTCCGAGTATGAACGCCTTCAAAAACAGACTAGACGAAGCTATGCAGGAGCATATTGTTCAGTCTTAAAATGCCTAGCAAATTACGGACCAGGCAATAAGTCCAGACGAAGCTATGCTGGAGCATATGTTCAGTCTTAAAATGCCTAGCAAATTACGGACCAGGCAATAAGTCCAGCAGCTATCTCAATCAATCGTCAGTTATGGAAAGACCGGGTTCCAAAGGCCGGATCCCTTATGAATCAAGTCACGAAAAATTCAAGATTCGGCAACAGGCCATGGGCCTATTTCTTCAATGCCAACACTTCTATTCTACTCTAACTATCAAGCAATAAGTAAAATAGAATAAAATATTTTAGTTAATTATCAAATTTTTTTGCTGTAAATTTGTTCGTGAATCGAATATGAATAAAAGGAGACCGGTTCATCGTATAAGCTCGCTTAATGTGTCATTAAAAGTGGGAGTTTCTTCATTTTTTCGTCTTGGACACGCTCGGTGTAGGAATATCTTCGCCCGCGTACTCACTGACACTGTGAATGGTTTCTTCGCATAGTTTTTCATTTGTGCAAGAACGAGACATGCGAGTTAGGAAAGTGTTTGCAATGGTAGGAACAAAGTATTAAGCAATGGAAGCCTCTTGGCTGTCATGACTCGGCAAAGCTGTCATGACGACCTTGTAATTGTTGGCACGAGGTGCTGAGTTCGCTCGCATTTCTATTTGATGCGGACGCGCATGCACGTGCTAACAGATAAGGTAATTATCGGCTTGTCTCGTGCACAATTTCAATTTTTACATTCGCACATTTGCTTCGCAAAATCAGCATGCATCATTAATTCTGATAATAATATTCATTGTTTACGTTCATCCACTTTCGAATGAATTTGATGCTGCAGCGATGCGGTATTATAGGAGTTAGAACTTTTGTACGAGATACTTTTTGTTCGCATATATAAAAAGTGAGCGGAAATGATGGCGCTCGATGCAATAAATTTGAGGCAGCGAACTGTGACCATTTCCTGGTTTTTCATTCTGTTCTGAATGACCCCTTATAATAATTAAGTAAATTTCGTTATTTAATGTCAACTTACCAAGACTTATTAGTAATATTAGTAGGGAGAAAATATTTTGCTAGCCTTTAAAACTATAATTTTTATTCATTTACTAAGCCTGCTTCACTTTAACGTCAATCTAATATAAAATACTGAGAGATTGGTAGTCTATATACGCACAATGTGAATGGTCTTGCATTAGTTCTCAGGTATTGTCAGTGAATCTCGGAGTGGCTGAAAGAATGAAAGTTGATATTCGTAAAGATCTCATTTTTAGTGAAACTCTAACGGAGTGAACGTTTTATTTGAACTCAGGGTTACTAGATGACAAGCGTATTCAGAGTTTTCGAGAATTTCGAAATTTTGTTGTATCATGTTTTGATTAAAGTGCAATCTGCTGTTGTGAATTGAATGATTTGAATACTGAATCGTGTACAGGCAATTTTGATTCAAATTGAAATTTACGGTAGTGTACTGTAATTTTTCTCTAGTCATAGCAAATAATACAAAATTTATTCGCCCAATCACAGCATTAAAGTGAGAAACTTTTCCAGAAATACGAGTACTATTCCCAATCTAATGAAAGATCTTGCGTTGACAGAATTTATCTTAGTATTGTACATTTCTATACGAGGGTTAATCGTTTAGGAGATGGTGAACATGTAAATAGACGACTCAGAAATAAATGTGCTTAGGAACAAATTTTGGCCTAATGTACACGTTACAATAACATTTGGTCAATTAAGTATATTTCATTACACTGCTCTTACAATTCATGCATTCCGATTCAATAATTTTACCATTTCATCACGGAAGCTATTTTATATGTGAGAAGCCATTATCCTCTTTTCGAAAACCTATTATAAGTGGCGTCTTCCAATGACAGTGTACAGAAGGCAGGCAGGATTAGGCTTCCTTGCCGATATAAAAAGTATTAGACGAAACAAACTATACTCACCAATAGATAGCGCTATCATGGGCTTATCGGGATGCGGAGTGATGTTCATGTTTTCTACGATGTCCCTGATAGGGTTGAAAGTCTTCTTCGCGAAGTTGGTCGCGCGAACATCCCACGTGGCTCGACCCTTCATTTCGTCGGTGGTGATTGGGAAAGTTTTCAAAATTTCGTATGTGTTTCAAAGCTAATTTTACAGTAATAATGCAATGAAATACTGTTTGATTCAGGAGAAGAACTAACTAAGGGTTTAAAAATATGTCTCTGGAAAACACTTCAGGGAGTGGGCTTACAATGATCACTTTTGAATACAAGAGAAGTGAACGAGCTCACTTGCAAATATTCCTTCGATAAGTCGATCCAATACAATTCAACCTGTCACACACTTTAATTTGAAGCAAACTTTCTCCTCAACTGGAAGTATCAGATAAACATCTCACCTGAAATTTCGGACGTGAGTATGTAATTAAATGTTATTTGCAATTTCACTTCAAATTTAAACAATGATGTTTCTCTTGTGCATGTCACTATAATTTAATTTTTAAATTAAAAATGCCTAATTCTCAATTGAATCAATTGCTCGATATTTTATAAAGCCGGGAATTAAATACTTATGAAAATCATTATTTTTCAGAAATTTCGACTCGCTACTAGACAATTGTTTCTATTTTAGATAGTAACCGAGAAAAGTTAAGAGAAAACGACTGCTGTCCATGTTAACATGGAGGATTCTCTGAACTTTTTAAACCTACTAAAAACCATTCACAAAGTTAATTGGTTGGTGGAGTGTTTGAATGACGTTTGTTTCTCATCAAAACGTCATCCTATCGTGCTCAAATAAATAAAATATTTATTTGACGAAAATGCGCGCAATATTGAGCGTATGTAGCCCAATCTAAATAAATAAATTGAATGTAATACCTTTTTCTAGCAACGATTATCACGGAATTTTGCCACATTTTAACTTCTCGCGCAAGTTTCTTTGATTACCAATCGCCTTCGTCATGTCCGCACCTTAACCAGGAAAGGGTTCATTGTGGAACACGATCATTTTGGATGTTTTCTTACGTATTTATTTTAGTTTGCAAAACTATACAAGTAATATCACGGAATTATTTTTCGTAGCTTGCGGTACTTATTGTCGTTCGAATTTGATTGGCGCAGTTAAAAGTGTCAATTATCACACTATTATATGATCGTGATAAATTGTTTTTAACTCTGTATAGCATTTAAGATGATAATTTTTGTTCTTTATCACATCCAATGTCAAAATTTGGTTTGACATTTATACTTTTTTAAAAAATTTCACTCTCTGACTAGTTTACGAAATTTTAACATTTGTAAATGTGCTAAGTAAAAAAATATAATCACATAAATCGTAATACTTCTAAGTGTAACTCAAACAGCAATTAACGACGTTCCGCTAAGGGACGGTATCAAACTTGAAAAAGTGCATTTCTATCAAAGAAGTGCATTTCTATCAGTGCCACAAAACTGCCACTTGTAGCAGTTTCACTGCCACAAGCAATGCACGCGTTAAATATAAAAATATGCAATTGACACTCGATGTCAGATTCTACACCAACGTGCATCCTTGAGCGATTACGTCTAATTATTGTTCTTCGAATCGCAACCTTGTGGGGATAATATATGAATTTTCCGAACACAGTTTAGAATGACACGCATTTGCGAGTACTTTTTCACTCTTAAGTATTTCAGTTTTGGAATTGGATGCTGCTCGCCACTAGAAGGGCCAGCGAAGGACTGCTGGAATAGAGCTGGGCTACCCGCGAAGGTGAAGAGGTGGCGCTTAGTGGTGCCTCGCTTGTGCGCGGCTGGAGCGCCTGCGCACTCCAAACCTGTCTAGACGGCATCTGCCTTACCACGTAGGCCCTTTGTCGCTCAAGGGAACAAGTGGGACAATTTCGATATTAAAGTTGGTTGGTAAATCGTAAATTAGACGGGCCGTAGAGGGTTTAGTTAGTACCAGTCCCACGACGGATCAACTGAAGAATCTCATAGGTGCAATGCATGCCTTTGTATGCATGCGTTTGTAAAACGACGATTTATTTTTGGCCTACGCGATGTTCAAAGAGATTTTTAGATTTTATATTCAATTTGTTTTTAAATTGAATTATTTTTTCATTATAAAATACTGGCAGGTTAGCCCATCGCTGCCAAGGCTTGATCATTCCTGCATTTGTGATTGTGTTATTCCAAATCCCGTCATTCCCATAATCCCTAATTATAATTCCATAATCCCTAATTATTCCCATATTTCTATAAAAACCAAACTTATGAAACCTAATTTAAAAAGAGCCTCGTATACCAACCACTTGCATATAAGTTAGGGCTCTCATTTTACTCTAGTTTCCATCTATGTGATAGAAAACAATGTAACGCCTTTTAATTAAATATATATTTCCGTGTATCGTGTAATATGCCTTGTAATTTTCGTGTGTAATATGCCAAACAGCCTTTGTATTCTTGTGCATCCAGGCTTCTAGCACACAGACCCACACACTCACAAGCACTCACACAAACTCTAGCCTGCGTGATAATAAGTTCAAAGTAACAAAGCTTGTGAGTTTGCAGTCTGGCACCACAAATATATTATAGCTGAAGGGCGCATAATTTCATGTTCTTCATACGTCCCGACTTATGGTGACGGGATAAATCAGCTGAACCTGATACTTAATTCTTAGTGGGCGAATACGTGAATAATAGGAAATTATTGGAGGAAAGAGAGGGAAGAATTGTATCGAAAATTGAAATTTTTCATTCAGTAAATATAATTCAGTTTAAAATACGCATAATTTTTTTACATATTTTAAAACTGAAGTAAAATGGGATTCGTATAGATATAATTATATAAATAAGTTTTTCATTTTTAACGGGATTATTGGATTACGGGGATGACATGATTTGGAATAACAGGTTTCCAAATTACAGTAACTAATAAGCCCGGGCAACCCCTGGCTATCCTGCTATTATTTTGGAAGAAGTAAAGTTGAAAATATATTTAGATACTCAAAAATAATTTGACGTTAAAATCGTCACATTTTTCATTAATAATCGCTAGAAGATCGATTTTATTTTAATTTTCTTGTTCTTCAATTCAATTACACATTATTTAGAAAGTTGACGGCTTTATAAACCTCTAAAGAATCTATTTATAAAGACAAATGGTAATAGAGGGTATTACATCAACATCGTTGAAATGAATTTTAAAACAATTTTTCAACGTGTGCTTTCACGTATTTGCATTTATCTTGTTTGAAATTGTAAAATAAACTTTGTCACTAGTGGGCTTTAAACTTTAACTCTGAAGGGTTTCAAACTTTGAGTCACTCAAAAGCTGCTTCCATCTTAACCGCAGTAATAAGTGCCGTCAGAGTCATGTCTTCAAGAAGAATAAGAATGCCTTTAACATCAACGTTTTTTTTGTCATCGGACGTTTTCTCCGTAATGTAACTTCAGTTACCTATCCTTGTTAGTTCTGAATGCTACAAATATTCCTGGAAATAACACCAGAGAAAGTTTGACCTTCGTCAATGAGAAATAAGGAAGCGTGCTTCAACGGCTTTTGATGATTGGTCGGAATTCAAAGATATTTTCCCCACATAAATGTTTTTTATGTATTGGCGCCAGCTGCATTTATCCGTCTCGGCATCTTCTATGTCAAACAGATTCCAAAATTCTTACGTTTTTCTTGTGCTAGAAGTTCTGGAACTACTTCGCAATTTTGCTATTATCTTAATTCGTTATCTCTGCTTAATAAAAAAGTGAGTTGAAAGCAATATCAGACATTTCACTTATAAATTAATTGGATGGGATATCGATAGCGCCAGTCTTTTTGTTGGATACATGCTGAAAAATTCCAGGCATCTGCCTGATGACGACGTGCTTCCAGCTAACTTTTTGCTCCATAACCTTGTACAGGTGAAGCTGACCAATTTCTATTCTACGCATCCTGGAAATTGTTATGTTTTCTTTGAAAAAAAATCATACTGCACCATCTACACGTTCATCTTAACATGGTCAATAACGAAGAATTATTTAATTAGTTGTAATTTTATTCTTAGTGATACATATAATAAACTCACTGTTTGAACTTAGAATTTAAAATATTCTATTCGAAGTCTTTATTTCATGCGCGAAACTATGTTTCAAAATAACGAGATTCTTAAATCTACTTATGCACGAGCGAATTTTCTTTCAAAACAAAAACATTTAAGTTCAAGTGGCACAAATATATAGCAATACTCGTCATTGAAGATCAACTAATTTTTATTATTATAAGCTCATTCGCAATGAGAAGTCAGATTATAATAAAATTATAAATAAACTTGTGGACTCTGTTGTATTATTATTGTATAATAAACTTGCGTATTTCTGCTACCTGAATGTTCAGTTCATCGATCTTCCGTTGCGTCGCCAGGTGCTTCGCTTGAGATGCGGGCCTCTTTGCAACTTGCTCATGCACGTTTTACTTCATTTCTGGCGTTGTTTTGGTGGTGACGTTCGAATTTCTTTTTCCAACTAAAATGTAAAAATCTCTACCAAGATTTTCATATGAAACGAAATATATCATGGGCAGTGTTTACCTGCAGTCTTCACGGAATATTATTTGAACAGAACACTTTTACGCCTCAAAAGGGTTCCATGAGAGCGCGTGATGTGGTAGTGTTTCGTGCGGGTTATCGCCCTTGAGATCTTCCGTGGCAGCATGGAGCTTCTGGAGACCCGGAGTGAGGGAAGCTGAGCCAGCCGTAAGTTTCGCGACAAGTGCTCGAGGTGACGGTTCATGTGTGTTGTTCTCAGTTCGTTCTTGTAAACCTTTAAAAATATTTGATATTTTTGAGAAATTTGGATGAAATCAGCTGAATAATGGTATTTTAACTGCTGTCGACTTAGAGCGATAAATATCTTTGAATATACCTGTTTTTAGTTACATACTTTCCTTATATCTTTGCGATATGTGTGATGAAGTAAGTTCATCATCATGCAGCCTCATGGCACCCGACCAAAACTTCACATCCGGCCCAAAAGTCACGTTGGTAGATCGGTTCGATCCCATTTGTTGTTTCGCTGATAATGTTTTGAATGAAAACATTATCGTGCAAAGCCAAGTACCACTGTCCGCGGAAAATTCAATTTGTACGCCGTCGTTGAATGTTTCTGTTGACTGCACCCACCCACTGATCAGTGACGATAATAATACGACTGCCCTCATTTCAACTACGAGCTTCTTAACTTCGGAGTCGTTGACTCCAACTGACTTTGCGACTGTTCATTTTTGCTCTGAAGATTTGTCAGATGCTGACGTTGATCCGTTCTCAGCCACTGTAGTTTACTCCGGTCTCACCGCTATTGGTGATCTCAGAAACGTCGACACCATTAACAGCGAGGTGACCATCTTGGGGGACGGTCTTGAGACAAGCATTCAAATTCATTTAACCGAATATGAGCCTTGCACGTCTACTGTCGACGAACTTTCGCTCAAGCAAACCGAAGCATCGTTCAACAACGAGAAAAAAACTGCAAACAAGAAAAGTGCGTGTTTATTTTGCTAGGCTTCTTGTTTGTAAAATTAGGTCGCGTGATAAATTTGCATATCGTAGATTAACAACTTATACGCTTATTATCTAACAGTTATTAATTTTCTGTATGTGCTAGCAAATTCAAAGGGTTTCTTTTCAATCGCGATATTCAAAATCAAGTTACCTACGATAAGTAATGTTTTTGTGCGGAAATATGGGCGGTTGGACTATTGTAAGTATCTATTATTACTCCAGTATATTGCGAGTGTTAGCGTAATACTCTTGAACATATTAATTGTTAGCGTAATGGTCTCTATGACCAGGTCGGCCTATCTACAAGCACGTGCCTCACCACGAGAAGCCCGTGCAGCTGGTGGAGCGGCGCAACGCTCGCGAGCGGCGAAGGGTCCAGTCCGTCAACTCCGCCTTCGTGAGGTTGAGGCGAGCGCTGCCCAGTTACGCCCTTACGAGGTGACCAACATGTTCCTTACTTCGCTTCCCTCAGAGTTAGTCATCCGTATTGTTTAATATCCACTCTGAAAACATTTTTCATACAATTAAAATTACATTTTGTCGGTACCGTATATATTTCATTATTTAATGTTTTCCCTTACACTTGCGTGAGCGGAGCAGCATAAGTTCCAACTATCTTACTCCGGTTCACTTGTGGCATCACGTTGAAGAAACCTTTGCTATAACCTTAGCCGACTTTCTCATCAGATATCTAAAGCACCGTATAAGTGATCTCATTTTTCAATCCTCAAATCCTTTTCTTCAACATTAACACACTTTGTCGATAGTTTCCTTTTGCCGTCCGTTTTAGACAATTGCTATTAAAATTAATAATAACAATTGACATCTTCCATCTTGTCAGTGATGAATAATTTGAAACTTTTTCGTGCCAAATATTCGTCCTACAACGCCAGTAAATCCTGAATTACAATACTGATATTTGATGAATTTATGTGCACGCGATCATTTCAGCCGAGGCAAAAGAATGAGCAAAGTGAAGACGTTGAAGGCAGCCATGAATTACATATGGACGATGCAGCAACTTCTGCTTCTAGAGCCGGTCACGTCAGCGGCGACGAATTGAGAACTTTACCTTGAAGCGAATTAAGGTAAAAATTTCGTCTTGCATGTAAGGCAGGAAAAAAAAGACATCTTTGACTCTCTGTTGTGGAGTTGCTGAAGCGAACACCAAATGACTAAAATTCTCTAGTCAGTATGTGATTTTGTTTATAATATTAGCGACGCTATTGGGCCGTTGCAGTTTGATCATTGCTACGATATGTGAATGTGTGTTATCCCATAAATTGTTGTCGACGAGCATCGTACTTAATTAACGTTTGGTACTACAGCCGCCATTTTTTTGTAATTGTTTGCATTGTAAACACTTACACAGTTGGGTGTACGTTTTAAGTACTTAGGAGGAGGATTTTGAATCAATGGAGCAGAAATCAAACGCCTGGTAGATTTCATTTTATATTATGGACAAGTCATTATAAATCGTATTTACAGGATTTCAGTACATTCACAGTGGAAGGCTGTACATAAAAAGATAACACCAACAAATCACAGGGACGAATTAACAACAATGATTAAGCCACCAATATGACACGAACAAAAAACTGTAAAATGCTCATTTATTCTACACGGGCATTACGCGACGGTAAGGCCATGTCAATATGAATAACGAACGAAAACCATGCTTTTGTTTTGATTGTCCTATAGCATTTTACGGATCAGGAGTCCTAGGTCTGCTGTCACTCGTTCCTCTTGGTAGAAGAACGCGGTCTTGAAGTTACGAGACACAAAGAATTGATTAGTTACAAACGCTTAACGAAGAAAAAAAAAACATTGAAGAGGTGCACTCAAAATTGAGAAATTTCGAAGTGGTCCAGCGTGGTAATACACTGAACCATGTAATAGAAAATGTTCAAATTTCAACTGTCGGTTTACTAATCGTTACAAATAACATTTCAGGGTGGGTATCGAAAGATTCTTGAAAGGAATAATCTTTACAATCTCGTTATCCTGAAAACATAGTATAACCATTGACCTGACATAAGGCTGAATATCTTCAAGGCGATAAAAAGATGACACAGCTTAGGATTTTCAACATTTAAATTAGGCATGGAAACTAACTGGTCTGAAATAACGCAGTCGAGTAACACCGTTACCGGTACTTTTGATAACTAGTCTAAAATAAGTAATTTAATATTTACGATGATCGTGTGATCTCCGACAAATTCCTTTTGGTTTAGCTACGAATGACTTTGCGATGAAAGTGAAGGAATATTTGGCACACTTCTAAGATGCAAGACTCCCTAGTTAACTAACCTGAGCCGAAAAAGTACGAAATATAAAGGTTATTTCATAACAAGTTCTAGGATATTCGACATTGAAGGGAACTTGACGTAGCGACGCTAGCTTAAAATGTGAGCTAATACGTTATCACAACCTTCGACTTCTGCTGTATTGCATCAGCAAGGTCATCTATTCCACTATCTCATCTAATCTAGAATTACGTTGTGCAATTAAAAGGGATTATGTGTCGATAAATTGAAGCTCTCTGTATACTATATAGTTAATTATCACTAGTAATAACAGCCCTGAGAGCTGAAATTGTTTATTAGAGCCATAATAATGAAAAGAAATTTACTAGCACTTCTCGTCCTCGTCGTGTAGAGCTTTAGGAAGCTGAAGACATAGGAATCTCGTAGAATCCTCACCAAAAAATGGTTTTACGCTATGAAAATGAAGCGTGGAGCACCATTATCTTACGGTACCTCGAACTTGTGCTTTATTGCACTAATTTTAACAAGAGTAAACCTTTGTTCAATTGTTAAGAGGAAATTAAATGCGACATCATTACCTTATTCTTTGTGCAAATACGTCTTGCTCAACTGAACTCGAACAAATTCCACTATTTTTTGGGCCTGGAAATAAATCATAACTCCATTAATAGTTACAGTGATAATTGCCGTTCACGTGATTCAGAAGTTACAAGTATCGACTTGCAAAAAAAGCGAAATAACAACATCAATTAAAATGATCGCATAAAAAAATTTTTTTTTGTAAGAAGATTGACTACTCAAAACCCCAACGTGAATATTTTAGGTACTATCCCGTTAATGGAGAAATAAAGTTGGCAAAAATAGCTCTCGAACTAAACATTAAAAGATCGCATAAAAAAACAATTTTTGTATGAAGATTGACTACTCAAAACCCCAACGTGAATATTTTAGGTACTATCCCGTCAATAGAGAAATAAAGTCGGCAAAAATAGCTCTCGAACTAAACATTATGATAATAACAAGAACGGTCATTCAGAAATTTGGATCATAGCAACATGAGTGACTAGCGAAGTGTTATTAATTCAGCGATGTATATTGAACACTTTTGGTCATAACAAAAATTCAAAGAATAAATGACGCCCAATAAGCCAGAAACGGCATAAAAGGTATTTATATACACGAACAATTCGTCAGAAGCATACAATTACCAGCTATCTCATACCAAGTAAGACAATTTTGATAAATAATTTCTTGATCGAGACGGATTTGCATCAGCTAAAATAAGACAATTGCAATAATATAGCTATTGGAATTTACATATGGACTAATAAATTTGCGAATATCAAATTTTTAAGCGCTAATTTCGGAACATACATTCAGTGGGATGAATTCACTACAACATATGTTCCATGCCCTAAAAAATTAAATTACTCTACTATGGACGCAAAATTTTACGAGAGAAGCGAAACACTATCATTTATAATAGAAACCAAAAATTCGCTGCTCTCAATTCGATGAGTTAAGTTAGTTAGTTTAGTGGCCAAATGTTTACTAGCGCTTCAGCTATTTAGCTATCTCGCACCGAAAGTCAAGATGAACATCACCATAGAGGTGGAAGGTCTCAATTATTCATCACCCACAAGGGGCGGAAGGTCTCAGATGTCCAGCCCGCTACAGTCAGACACCGCGAGCTCAGCGGTGGGGCGCTCAGGAACAATGTCCCTAGGAACGCGAAATCCCATAGGACTTCTGACGAGCACAGACACACACGTCAGAAGTCCCCCCTGAGGGGTCACTTCGATGAAAAATCTTCGCAACAGAAGAAATAAATACTTGAAATTCACCAGCATCTTTAGACGTAGGAGCAACTTGAAGATCTCTCTGCCGGTTACCAAGGAAATTACATGTGCCGTTTCGAGGCTAATGCTTAAAGGCTGTACAGCGGACGCAGCAAGCGAGTCGTTCAAACAAAGCAGCAGAGGAGCAAGAATCTCTCGTATCAAAGATACGAGATCACGCGACTCGTATCAACTATACAAGTCCGCACGAGGTACATAAATCTGGCGGCGAGCAAACAACGCAGACTCGCAATCGGGTTACATATAAATACGAACCAGGATCAAGGTAACGAGGGAGCAACGTTAAGAACCAATGTGGACAATTTTTTGGGTAAAAACAAGAAAAATCGTTGAAATTCGATAACATCTTAGGTAAGTAACTGTGGGTTAGGGTTAGCGTTGCTGGTGACTGATGAAAGCAAGAGCAAGGAATTCGAAAAGTTATCTTTGTAATACGCTACTTAGCGAGAACTCGTCAGGGAAAGTTCATCTAAAAGAAAGGTCTAACAAAAAAATTTACACAAAAAGCAGTCATAAAACTCTGACAAAAAAAAACTAAAAACGTCGTTTATTGTTCAATTTCCACTAAAACAAGCAATATTACTCAGTAGCTACTACTGAACATACTTATTTCTCGTGAAACATATTTAGATATCTTCAGTCTCAAGAGGACAAAACTCACCTCCAAAATAAACTTCTCCGATTCAAACGGAAATACTAGTCGTAACAAAACTTGACCTTACAATGAACGTCAGAATTCATCGCCGTTCTTATTCACAAGTGAAATAAACAAGAATGCACGCAACCTGTCAGGCGAAACTACCAACACGTTCTCTTGGTCGACTCATTTAATTTAAACTCACACGAACAGGACGTCAAACTCATTCACTTCCACTGACCTAAAGAACGGATTACTGTGTATTTAAGGTTGCACACAAATTGTCTATAATATTAAGAATAGGTTCGTTACTATGGATAAGCGAAAATATGTAAGTCATAAGCCGATATATTTTCTCATACGGGGTCTTGGGAAAGGTCTTTGAGCAGATTGGAGCGAGCGTTTTTTAGCTTTTCGAAGCGTCGTAGGAGATGAGAGTTGGTTGTCTCGAGCTCTTCTAGCCTCCCTTGTGCCTCTCTCAACTGTAGAAGGGAAAATGAATATAGTACAACTCATCTATTCTAAGTCACTAATAATTTGGAGCTTACGCTAGAAATTATGTTAAAGTAAAGTAAAAAACACAATGAAATTATTGCTTATTCAAACGAAAATAACATGAAGGGAACAGTTTTGAGAGACAGGCTCATAAGGAATTAAAAGTAAATATTTCAAGTGAAGCAAATTTGAAATAAATCAAGATGCAATTATATACATTTTCGGTGGCAAAAATGTTACATTAAATTGCGGAAAAATCTGCGTCTGCAGACCTAATGAAGAGCAAAATAGATCGCGGAGGTACAGCGTTATTAAAAAAGCCATCTGAAGCCAAAGATAAATTCAATTAGTGCATGCGAGTGAGTCCCAGGCAAGAACTGAGTGATTAAATAAAACTACAGATCCCTGGTTTGAAAAGAGTATGGTTTCAATTTCAAGAATTTTCATCGATTATTTCAAGTCCACTGATTAATTATTTTTAGCTTACTGATGCGTCTGATTATGCTAAGATCTGATCTTATGCGTCTGAGTAAACTATGATGTTTAGGTCAATCAACTACCATTTTTATACACGCTGAGCATGTATTCTCTACTAATGATACACCAGTAGCGACAGTACAATTATAAATGAGATCTCGTGCACGAACATCGAGGCAAACATGACTGACATAGGGAACAAAATAAATAGGAATAAAGATTATTGGACACGGGAAAGAAGAATACATAAAACAAAAAGCTAAACTGAAGAAGTGAAAACAGCATGTTGAAGAAGCGCAAGCGCCCAAGACAAAATAAGGCAAAAGACAGTAACGCGAAGCAGCTAATTGTGAATCACAGCAATGATATGTCCCGAAATCAAACTAAACTATCAAGCCCTTCACATAGAGAATTATTTCCAATAGATTTACTAAAATTCTGATCAAATCAAGTGCCCAAGATTATTATTATATAACGAATGAACGATAACTGATACAATTGCATAGCTCAGATCGCAGTATTCTTATCACTGATCAGGAGGATTTAGCGATCAGTTCAACGAAAGCCGAAAATAGCTAAATATATCCCAAGATAATTCAATAAGTTATTTGAAAAATTCACCGAGAACGCATTATAATTATACACGAATGAGGTTAAGTGATATAATGCAGGATTCCGAGATACTTCTTATTATAAAGAGGAGGGGAAGGATACATATGATGGATATATATCCTTACATATGATGGATATGTAGATTTTAAATGATGGATCAAAATCAGGCGATATATCGGAGTTAATACTGCTCGGGATGAGGAAATAAAAAGCAGTTAATGAGGTAAGCTGAGCGCCCCAGACACACGAGACCTACTGTCGCGCGCCCTGACGATCATGCAGGAGCTTCTCATACTGGCGCTTGATGTAGTTCTTGGAGGACTCGAGCTCGTCGCTCTTTTCCTGCAACTCGCGACGCTGGGCAGTGCCAGGGATAAAGCAAACATTCAAACTGATGTGGACTCATGCCACTCATGCGTACTGATAGCCACTAAAAACATTAACATTTACGGCAGACAGCGGCATGTTTTGATGGCTACACGTTAGGAACAGTTTAGATTAATATGAATGGTTGATGGAAGTATCAAGGACGACTAAATTAGCGTGCAGAATAACTTGAACGGAAATGCGAAAATATACAGAACGTTTTAAAAAAAAGTTGAACTGAGGTTGATCTTCTGAAAAATATATTCGGCTAAAAATTAGTTGATGAAAACAAACTATACGTTTCGAGAAATTGCTGTAGAAATGAGTAGGAATACAGGCAAGTGAAAAATAAATTACTACATTGTACATAAGAGGAGTCGGAAAATAGACAAACTCCGAGTGAAAATAAATAATGTTTTAGATAAGATCCATGGTTGAAACCCTGTTTTTTGAATAATTAATCGTGTACTTTAGCTTAAAAAGGTTTCTGCTTAAACTTTAAACCAAGATTCCATTGCCTTGAAATGTTTCTTTATAGCCGTGACAACTCACTGGAAATTGTGGACGATATAGACTGATTTTAAGTAGCCGAGTAAGAAAGAGTTGTGAGATGTTCTAGTGGAATAATTTTAAATTTTAACACCAGTCTTTTAACGTAAAGAAAGAACTGGATTAGATCCATGTTTGAACAGGAAGACTGAAAAATAATGTAAGTCAACATAATATGGTGAATCACCGATGGTAGAAGAGATATCGAAGAACTATATACTTCAGTTTACTAAATGTAATACTAACGAATATTGGTAACCATGCACGAACTAAAATCAGAACATCAAAAGATTTCCAATGAAGAGTTGAAACGAAAATTTTCGATGAAATAACATCTTATAAGGAACATTTGAGGTTCATATGTTCTACCGACAACAACTAAGTATAACAGCAGCAAAGGCTTACGCATTCCATATGTATATACATACATACATACATTGAAAAGATTCTATTTTCTACAGCATTATTACGTACGTGACGAGGCATTCGTACAAAAATGACATGAAAGAGCAAATACTCACAATTAAAAGCCAATGAAATACTGTCAAATCTAATTAAATACAATGACTTCGCCAGCCTCCACCCCTCAAAAATAAATATGAAAAAACAGTCACGTTCATATTGCTGTATTCTTCAACAGAGGCGTAGCAGTTGAGATTGCATGACAATACCTAAATAAGCACATCAGCCAAAAGCACTCGGTTCTTACCTCGCGTTGCAGTTTACGTTTTTCCACTTTAAGTTCTTCTTCACTCTTCTCGAGCTCCTCGACCTGCGTCTTATACCGCGTTACTAGCACCTCCAGACGATTTACCTGCACAGCATTACACCAGCCGTGTACTTGGCACAAATAATAGGGAAAATACTCTAGCGCTCATCGGAAAGTCCGAAATACACATTTTAAAATATTACAGATTTAATAGAACTAGGTGCTTATCGTGACACCTAATCTGATCAAGGTACCACATAATGTCGAAGGGAATGAGAGTATTTCACAATAATATTTAGGAATTAAACACGTGACATAAATCACCTGAACTAGATGAATATAATCAATTATTTATTTAGCTTATGTACAAGCCAGGCACGACAAATTTATAGGATTATTTGGGCGAATGTATAATATTCTCAATACCTAGGAGGTTAATACATTTTAAACAAATTTTTTTAAGTTGGAAAAATTCTGTCGTTTTCCTCAGCGTTCAATGTACTCGAAGAATTTCAAATTGCATTGAAGTATAGAATAAATTATTTGCGGAACGAGATATTTATTGAAAAATTCAATCTGCACTCACATTAGCTTGTAGTGACGACACCTCGGCCTCAGCCCTTTGTACTCTGAATTTATATTCATTAACTGTTTTGTTAGCTTCTTCTGTGGGAAAAATAAAACCCAAACAAGATTAGGAAAACAGTTGATGACCATAGCTAATATGTCAAACACAGATGGAGAGCGTTTTAGCCCAGAATTGCGATACCAGAAACATGAGAGCAACAGGACTTAGTCGGGGCTTGTGCTGTGACAAGACATAATCTCACGGGAATAGCCGTGATAAAGCTGCACCCTCAAGTAGTGATTATCTCCAAAATTGAGGTTCAAATTGAATAGTGCAAATCGGAACGAGGATATTGAGAACTCTTTTCTGGTTGTTATTATAGTACTTCCTGAATGAGTAGATTTGGTTGGAAGTTCGTAAGGCTTTCTTCTGCTGTTTCACTCGGAAGCTTGGCCGAATTTTTTTCTGCTTTACTTTAGGTTAAAGCTTCAGTATTATATGGTGAGGTATTCTAATCTCAATTTAGTCCGTCTTCAGTTTCAATTTCTGCTGATACAGAAAAAGACACTTCATTCCTGTTAAACTTCTCATAAATTTTAACTCCCAAACCAACATCTTCCTGTATAGAATAATTACTCAAAGCTATAGAGAACATGAAACTCACTCTGAATATTAGAATCGAGGCAGTTATTTAGTCGCTGGTTGTTGACCTGCTCCTCTAACTCTAAGTTGACTCGACGAAGCTCGTCCTCCAACTCCCGCTTGTGCTCCACGACTCGTCGCAAGCGCCATTCTGCAATCACACAATCAAGTAAGTTGTTGGATTTATACAGTTATACAGACTTATATTTTAAGCAGGTCTCATTGAAGACCAGAGAATTTGTTTTATTCGCAATTTTCTTATTAGTTTTCTTTTTCAATATATCGAACAATATTTTTCGTTTGAACTGGTAAATCGAAAATCGGGGTACCGATTGACATTTTTATTTTATATAAGAAAATTACGAATAAAACAAATTCTCTGGTCTTCAATGAAACCTGCATAAAAGAACAAATTCTGCCAATTACAGACTTATATGTAGACAAATTCTGAGCATTGACTTTCAAAAGTTAGTTAGTTAGTTTAGTGGCCACATGTTTACTAGCGCTTCAGCTATTTAGCATTGAGCTTGACTTTCAAAACGTAAGAAATACATTGCAAGCACAAAAATGAATGCTAACAAAGTAAGACAAAGCGATATATTCCATGATTCCGACGCACAAAAAATTTCCATAAAGCCAGCGAGGATTAATTATACGTAGAATGAGGAGACCGTGCACGAATGTTATGTGATTTGGCGCGCTTTGATGCATTATTTGCGCCACATGAAAATAGTTGCAAAAAATTCAAAGTAAATCAATTAAACATGGGAAAATTTTAAAATTAATTTAAGCCTTTGCCTAATAGGAACGTAAGTAATTTGATAAGAGGTGTTGATATGATTATGAAAAATGCATGTCAGTTCGGATGCTTCTGACATCCAATAGAGAGCTTATAAGTTCAACAGCAAATTATTGCAACTCGTAACGCGAACAAAAAAAAGTCTAGTTAATAATTTGTGGGAATTATTGATAAGTTAGTGATCAGTGATATATTACCTAGAGAGCCTTTAGCTGCGCCTTTCTCGAGGATCTCAGCAGCCTCCTGAGACAGCAGGACGCGCTTCATGGGAACAGGGCGCGGCAGGACGAGCCCGTCCTCCGTCTCCTCCCGCGCCACCAGATCTTCGTCAGCCTCGTCGTCCTCCTCGTCCTCCTCTGCTACGCCCCCAACAACAACCAGCCCGTATTCCTGTACAGGATAATAATACCTGCATTATTGATCATTTTAATTAATATTATCTTATAGAAATTATATTCTTGACAAGTGAGAAGATATTCCTCAAACAACCAGGCCATGTTCGTGAACAGGACAATAGTACCTGCATTATTGATCATTTTAATTGGTACCATGTTTTTTTTAAATTAAATTCAGCGGCACCTATGGAACTCTATTCTTGATAAGTGAGAAGATATTCCTCCAACAACAACCAGCCCGTATTCCTGAACAGGACAATATTAACTCGATTCTTGAGAACTGAAGCAATATTAATTAATACAATCTAATATGAACAATAGGTATTCTTTATAACTGTAGTCATATTAATTTTTACGATCTAACAAGAATTCAATTCTTGATAACTGAGAACATTTTGATATTCTGAAGTAATATTACGGAGTTTTCACTGATTACACATTATCTTTTCTATAGAAATGAAAAAAATGGATGATTCAAAATTGTTTGAGTGATTATCAGCAGACAATAGATTAAATGATCTATTAAACTAAGAAAGTGTAGACCACTTGAAATCGTAGCTTAATTATTTATCCATTTCATCCATTTGCCAATTTTTCATTATCGATTAAGCGTACTCGTAATTTGAAAGTGTTAACTAAATTTTGGAAACTTTTCTAACGCGGTGACAAAAAAAAAAAGATTATCGTCCATAAACTCATTACAAACAAGTACCTGAAAGATAAGTGGTGGCAAAATGTACTTCAAAAACTGATCAAGTATATACCTGAATGAGCTCATCACGCTGCTCGAGAACACGCCGAAGCTTCCTGCTCTCCTCCTGCAGCTTAGCGTAGACTTTGCGCAGCTGCTCGTGCTCACTGCACTTCTTCTTGTGCTCCTTCTGCTCGCACCGGAAAACGAATTAGACTAATCCAGCAATCCAATTGGACTAATTGGATTGGACACACGAATTGGACTAAACCAGCTATCCAGCACCGCATCCAATTGAAAAAATTACTTGATGGCAATGGAATATAGAGTGTCGTTATGGTTGCAGCTGAAATCTGACCTTGAGCTGAGTCAACTGCTCGGTTATGTCGGCTCTGACATCCTTCAGCAATTCCACCTGATACGTCAGTTGAGTCTTCTCGTTGTCGAGCTGAGCGTTGCTGATCATAGCGCCACGGAATTTCTCCTCCAGCTCCTGAAACATAAATACTTCGTTATTTAACCGCATGTTAATGACACATTTCATATCGACGAGCTAAACAAAGCGCGCCACTAAAACAGTCACCGTGGTACGTAGGTATGTTACACCATTGCCATGGTACTGTAAAGTAGCCTCAATCAGTGAATGTAGTTCAATACATACAGCAGTAGCACCACTGTATTATAGGGTATCGGCGACCGATAAATCGTAACGAACGTTAAATTAGAGTTAAAATAGACGGAAGATACTATCAGCATGATATTAGAGCAGAATGAACAGAGCGTCGATGCCACGACTCACTCTAAGGTCTTTAGAAGAGGCAGGGTCGTCGGGGTTGGATTCTTCAGAGGAGTGTCTAGTGTACTGAGGCAGAGGCGGGGGAGGAGGCACAGTGCCGGGTGTGTGGTGGTGCCCTGCCACGCTGTTAGTGCACGCCGTCGCCGCCGCGGACGTCGCGCGAGTGCTGCTAGACCGGCCACCGCTGCCGCCGTCTGCAAATATTTAATATGCAATTGTTAATAGGGAATATAATTCTAATATTATTTTTAATAAGTAAATATAGGTATATTTTTCTGGAACAATTGGCAATAGATTACATTCTAGTTGAGGGTGTCACATCATTGCTTACTTTTATTTCTATTTTTAAAATATAAATGTAATATGTTTTTGGAACAATTGGTAATAGATTACATTCTAGGTAATGGTGCCCATCATTGCTTACAAACACATGACACTCGAAATTATGGTCTTTTGTAACGAATATAATTAAGATAAACGGTCAAAACAAAATGTGATGAGCGAAGAGAGCAAAATTAGAAGTAGAAGTGAAATTCTCAGCTTTCAAGAAAATAAAAAAGAAGCTTCAAGAGTCCGACGCAAATTCAAATTAAACCTTCTTGTTCGTAAAAATCAGCAGTACTAATGTTCCTTAGTGATGAGTGATGACGACACGACAATAATCATAACAAATAGAGTATGTATGTATTCAAAATAAGTTGTTAATGAGTGGTTGGTGAGGAGGCAATACCAGCCATAAATCACACCTAGAGAAGCATGACCGTATGTTAGCCCAATGCTATGGTGCACTAGTTCCAATCTGATAGTGCAGACAAAATCCAAGGTGATTTAAATTCTGAACTAATCGCTAAATACAAACAGACCTAAACAAATGAACAAGGTTGCATCAATTTACTCCCACAACACAGCCAGGCATTTCGTTAAATAGTAATTAAAGTACATATAATGTTGTGACATAATAAACCAAACCGATGAAGGCGCAGTAAAACTTTCACATCAGCACACTGAAATTAGTGTGCTGATTATTTTACGCCCGCTATAAAAAGAAGCGGGCGTAAAAATAAAAAAAATTAATGTGATATAACATCCTACGACGAACTCTCAACAGCAGCACCTACCACCGGTAGTACCTACTTAATGATATATACAATTGTATGGACTGTTCCTCCCAATAATACCACGCCAATTACCACTCAGCTGCACACCACTACACAATACATGTACAACCGAAACTAAATTCCCTATCCAGTCTCCGCTTATCTGTAAAGGTAGAGTTGATCGAAGCTCGACTTAGGTGCGTACTCGAGTTTCGGGTAAAGAACCCGAGCCTAATCTTCTACTTATGCCCGATTTAAAATCTTCCAAGCCATGGATCGGTTCTAGAAGCCACCAGTTCCTAAGAGGCCTGGCTCTCGGAGATATTTTCGAAGCAGACTTGCTGGCACCAAGCGATAAAGATGCTAATTTTTAGGGCTCCAAGTGGCGCTGCGTACGAGGGAGCTTGACGCGGAAAAGGATACAGCGCGGCTGGTATCGCGGGACGAAGAACAGCCGAGTATTTCAGCAAAATTTCAGTGCACAGTTCACTACCCCGACGACGTGTAATTTAATAATTTATACGTTGAAATAGCTTTGAAACTTGAAATTGACTCAGTTCAAATCCAGATGCGCTATCCATATTATGACAATTAATATTGAAAAATTCTTCAACGTTTGGGCGATGTTAGGAATCGCGAGGTAAGCAGAACACATCATATCGTTGTAATGCAGAATTTTGATTGCTATTTCATCATTGATGCAATGAGTACCGTTACATTCCGACGCAATTTGCAAGTGTACTACCAGTAGATTCGTGGTGATCGTAGAACCATTTCTTGGACGAGGCGACGAGCTCCTTGCTTACTTGCTTAGCTCCTTGCTTAGCCGCTTATGGAACATCACACGCTTCATCAGCGCTTATTGCAACATCACAGAGGCTTTCAGTAGATTGAGGCGGCAGGGCAATGCATTATCAATATAGTCACTAGTTAAATCTGAGAGTTCGGATTGATTTATCTCCAGGATGAAATATACTTGAATCAATCGACAATGATAAGAGAGCAGGGAGAAAATAAAATTAAATATATCTAGCGATGAACAATGGTTCTGTCTTTTTTTCGATCGAGATCAGCTCCCAATATATAGAAAAGTTTTTGTTGGCTACCGTAGGGTTAAATTAAATAGGTATTAATTCATATTCTGCTGCAATAATAATAAATGAAACTGCTTAAAAAATCTTTACCAAGTGAATATTTTTTTATCACATGCAGTGAGATGTGCCAGCTCAATTTAAAAAATATATAACTCAGTATACTCACTGCAGTGAGTGACAGAGAGCGCATTTTCTCGTCGACGAAAACTTGAGGTCACGGACGGACGGACGGACAGACAGACGGACATGGCGAGCACAATAGTGCATTTTTTTCCATAAATGAGAAAATGCGCGAAAAATGGTAACGAACCACAACTCAGACGTCAGCGAAGGTTCACGCAAATAACAACTTCAACAACAAACACGACTTGCATGGTCAGCAGGGCACGCGTAGTTAGATGCGGTGAGAGAGAAATGTAGCATCACTCAGAAAAATGTATGGGTAATCTTGTCCAAATAGACATTTCCTGGGCGTAGAACTGATACGCACTTTTGCAGGGCTTAAATTTATCAAAATGACCCACACAGGGTAAGATGTGCACCGCTATTTGGACAGCAAAATCTTGCAAATTTCTCTGAATGCAGGATAAATTACCGGGCTAAAATAGATCAAGATGACTCACATAGCGGAAGATTAGCATCAAAATTCGGCTAACAGAGACTCACTTATTTCTCTGCATGCAGGAGACGCTAGCACTCACCAGACACGTCGCTGGCATCATCGTTGTTCTCAGGGTTCTGCTGTTGCTGTTTCTCCAGCTCCCGGAGTCGCAGCTCGCGCGCCTCCGCTCGAGCGGCGCGACGCTGGGCCAGACGCGCCTCCGCCTGAAACCAACAACCTCGATGTACGGCAATGAATTTTGCGTTAAAATTAATTCTAATTACTTTATAAAATCTACTAGGAAAATAACCGGACCATTTCGTCTGAAACAAACAACTTCAATGCAAAGCCAATCAATATCGCAATACAATTGACTAAAATTATCGTCAAATTAGCGTTGAAAAAGAATGGACAATACTAGTTCTATTTTGAGACATTGAGAAGGAATCTCATTGAGAAATGTGCCAAATGATGTGGCGGTGATGAAGCTGCCATTACAGCTGTAATTAACATAACTAAGCGCTAATTAATAATTAAAATAAAATAAATTGTGAGCGGAGGTATTCATTTACTATTAGTGGTAACGATTAAAATTAAGAAAAAGCGAGTATGCGAACGGATATCCATAAATGAAACATTTTATCGTTAAAAATAAGTGTGGATTGCTTGTAATCGAGAAATAGAGAAACATAATCGCATGAGAAATTTATTCTTATGAAACTTAGATGTGATGCTCAAGCATGAAGCGCATGAAAAGGGTTATGTGAAATAAGACTTTATATGCAAGTTGAAATGAAGGCAAAACGTTAGCGGTACCTAACACTGACATAATTTTTTCCCTTCAAAGACAAGGAGCGTTGATTAATAAGAATATCCTCACTCGAGCTAATTTATAACTGAGTAAAGGAAGCCATGACGGTTCGTCTCATTTAGTAATAATTAGCTCAAACTAGTTATCAATCGCAAAATTGTTGCTAGTTTGATACAATTGATACGTAGAAAAATTATTTTCGAAAATTTTATAAAAATTACCCTAGACACCTTCAAAATTAGCCGAGTTTCTGAAAAATTTATAACGCGTAACGTAACGCTGTAACCACCAATAGAGGCGGCACCCACCTCTTCTTTGATCATCTTGTCATCGTATTTACTAAGTTCATCCTCTAGCGACATTTGTTGCTTAAAAGAAGAACGAGAGCTCCTCTGACTTGAGTCTTCAGAGGCGCAGGTCGAGCTTCTTTTACGATCATTTGGCTGCGGTTCTGTGGGCGCATCTCCAGCATCAGCACTCACGTCGCACGAAAAACTGATCAGACTTCCATTTAAAATAGGAGTCGAAATTGCACGAGATTCCGCTCTATGATCTGCCACTCCACTGATGTCTGATTCCGCAACTACGCTGAGGTCGACAGTCGCATTAGGAGCCGCCTCAACTGCGACATGAACGTTTTTCTCAATTGAATCATCTCTACAAAATAAATTATCATCGGTTGTTCCGTTACTTGAAGCGGTTTCTGGTTTACTACTATCAACGGTATGGGCTTCGTCAGCATTTATCTGACCAATTGCAGCCTCCGGTCCTTGGAGAGAAATTGTTTCTATTGTATCTTTAGCTTCGCACAAAACTTCAACGAAGTCGGCTTCTTTACTATCACAAACAAGGTTTACACCACAACATACATCATTTACATCAGTGGTAGTTGGACTAGATGGGTCACTATCAAGCCTAGCATTATCAACAGATTCTACAGGTGTAGGACGGTCAGAAAAATCCTTAGGATCACACTGAAAGGACGGAACATCACAAATTACAACACATTTCTTCGACTCTGGGGTTTCATCTTCGGGGGTTTCACAGTCGGACATCGTAGGAGAGAACACTGAATCACTTTCAGGAATGACACAATCATCGTTGCTGGAAAATTTCTCGGTTGGTGGAAACTCATGATTCGTCGACACCGGACAGTTTGAAGAGCCGTCATTGATACCATCATCCGGTAACATGGAAGCATTAATATTGTTCGGTTGAGCAGACTCGGAAGAAATTACTGTAGGAATATCGACTTCAATTTGATTGCGCGCTTCAATAATCTCACCTGCAAGGAAGCTTGTCCGCCCTTTGGAAGGTACTTCAAAACAGAATTCGAGATCTTTAGGGGTATAATTGGTTCTCAAGTCCAAACTTACATCTTCACTATTATGTATGTCACCAACATCATCTGCATATTCAACCGATGGCTCAGCAAGAATATCGGAGGACAATTGAATGGTATCACTGGGAAAACCAGAACTATTTAATACATCCGGCGCATCGTGAAATTCGTCAGACGCAGAATCAAACACATCGCTTCCAGGTTCACAGCTCGAGTAATGCGTCACGGCGGTGTCAGTAGATAATGGACGCAACACAACAGATGGAATATCATCAACATCCACTTTCATGGGTTCATTGGGTGAATCAGAATATTTTTCAGCAGGCGAGCTGCTTGCTAACACTTTTGATTGCTCGTTTTCATCCCCGTTGCATTCGGATGTTGACAAAACAGAAGTTTCTTCCTTAATCTCAACTTCAACTTCTAGATCATCAAAAGCCTCATCCATGAAATCATCCACGAGTGAGTCATCATTCGTCCCGGAAAAAGAAACTTTAGTAACGGCGGACTCGTGGATGTTACCATGACCATTGACGGTGACATCTATATTAATCCTACAACCATCTTCAATGATTATGCCATCCTGGTTTTCATTTTCTACGACCGATTCATCTTCCTGTGGCGCTGAAGATGAAATGTTAGTACGATTTACCTTACCATTGGCGATTTCTTCCTCTGATATAGAATCTACATCGCCTAAGGAATCGCACTCCCCCTCAGCCGTGATTTTGAGCACCATTTCCCCGGCATTGGAGTTAGAGGTGCTCTTTATTTTCCCAGTCATGGAGTTGCCATTGGCGTCGGTACTGATGAGTTCCACAGGCTCGGTCTCTAGGGAACTGCCGTCCTCTGATGGAGCAGAAGGCCCAGCTGGCCGCTTGTGTCGCTCTCGTTTATTGCTGCGTTTCTTGACTTGTTTCACAGACTTGCCCTCGCCCTCTGATTTGCTCTTAGCGAGAGGGGAAGGAGGAGGACTTGCAGGAAACTCCCCTCCATCTTTGTCCCCTTTCTTCTTGATGAAGGAAAAGAAGCGACTCATGGTTGGCTACAGCTAGTCACAGTAATTCTAACTTGTAGGTAGCACTTGCTGTCACAGCCACACGTTATGTCATTATAAAACCTTCGTACAAGACCGTTAGAGTTTTTGAAAAAACTTTACACTTTATGTTCAGCAATTTTTCAACTATAGATCTACAAAATCTTAAACCTAGTGACAAAAAAGAATCTAGGAGTATCTGAAAACCAAAGTTGCAACGTAATAATTGTATGTTTACCTGTATGGGATAAACAACGCTACTATTTAAACGAAAATCATTTTACTCTACAAATAGGTACATAACTTGATGTTGAAGGTACACAGATGACATACTGGTACCAGGTATAGGAGTTAACATTGAAAAGTATCAAAAGGAGAAATTCTGTACAGAAAAAATTATTGTTCGTTTCAACTATCTGCGAACAAACGATACATTTTTAAAATTAAATTAACCAAGAAACTAAAGGCCACGATATGAGGGGCCAAAATGGTTTTGACACAGTAAATGCACGACGGCCACTGCCCTACTGACTGACGAGTGATGAATAATTCTTGCATGAAGATAAGGAGATAAGGCGTCCGTTATCGCACCAGAAAATAAGGACAGTTTGTACCAATATGAGAAAAAAAATAGTAATAAAAATAATAAATTAAAGACTAAGCACAAAGGGCACGAAGATTTGTATACAGGTGCAAAAAAAAGAATGAATAAATCAAGAGAGAGTTAAAACCGCAGACAATATTGGTACATATACGATTTAGATACCACCACACAAATATAGTCAAATGGGGTAAGACAGGATCGCAGCCTTCATGGGGTAAGAAAGGACCAGCTCATATCATGCATTCTAATTGCACTGAATTTAATTTGATAGAAGAATATGTTAGAGCAATCATTGCATGTCATTTCAGTGCTTGTTTCAACCCTCTATGTATGCAGAAAGTCTGAGTTGTAGCTTAGAAGCCCATTGCATAACTACACCTTGTGATAGGTTTAGGGTTTTTTATTTATTCATGGTATAGATGCTACATGCTTGTTAAAGATTTCGGTCCTGTCTTACCCCATCTGACTATACAAGGTTCATCGATATACAAATACAACAATATTCACCTAAACAACAACACGATAATCGTATGGAAATCAAGTAGCCGTAATGACAATCCTGCATTATTGGAACAGGCAGTGAATCAAATGTGGGACAGTTTAATAATTTCAACACTATAAAGAAAATGTCATACATGGTCATCGCCCGGTCATTATACGCAGAGCGATCGCAAGAAACAGCAATTAGCAAACGAGCAGAGGTCGATAAAAACATATAGGATCCGGCAGCACCGCTGCGCTCGCAAGCATGAGGCAATGCAACACGCAACAGTGGGCGTAGCTAAAAACAATTCTTTCTTAGCATGCTAATCCAGCTCCGTTATAGCTAGAGAAAAATTAGAAAGAATAATTGAGATTATTCATGAGAAGAGGGCAAGAAATGGCGTAGTTCCAACAGCAGTTTGACGATTGGTCCAACATGGATGGTCCAATAAGGGCATAATCAAGGCGATGAGTTCATCGAGTTATACGTGGAAAGATAGAGGTCCCATATTTGCTGGAGTTAATTAAACTAAGGTCAAAATATCTAGAGTAAAGGAACACGAAATTATGAGGTCTCAATATAGGTCATGCAAAAGGCAATAAAGAACATTTTTCATAATTTTTAAACCGAAGAATTTAGCAAAGATCGAGCATTAATTGAAGAAGTAGTAGCCACTCCACGTACAGCATTATTTTCTCCAGCAAGGTTGTCGGCAGTAAGCAAATGACACAAGCGACTCCTGGATAACCACACACACACGACCAAGGTTGACCAGTTCAGGCGCGCACTGGGGGCCGTTCTAAAGATCGACATGTTTTGACCGCTATTTGGCGCATGATAATGAATAATACTTTAATTACAATTCTAAGGAGATCCATTAGCGAAAAAAAGTTATAGGTTCGATTGGTGAAACAAACTCCTTACGATACATTCACTAATTTCAATTCAAGGCATGCATGAATTTCAAGTCCCACATTTTTTTGAAGATACGTCTAGGACTGCCTTGTACTTGAGGTTTAATGGCGACATGCGGCAATGATGTGTACTAAAACAACAACTTTCACGGCTCGGCCCAACAGAAACTACTTCATTAGAACCGCAGCTTATACAGGTATATTAGTGATCTCTCGAGTGCACAGTCATAAATACCCCGGCATTAAGCAATATCTGACTCCATCAACAAGTCCAAGAGTTCGATCAGGCTCGAAGCACAAAAAGCCTATAGGTGAGCATAAGGCGCAAAAAGCTGTAAGAAACAACGGTACTAAAACTTACACACATTCAGCTTGCGGTATATGCAAATAAAAAGTAAACTTTTAATATAGAGCAGGATGAAATAAGTTGTTATCAGTAAAAAAATAAGATGTCAAACCTCAGAGCATGTGACCCGGACCGGACACGACTTGTGTATCTCAATATATAGGTAAAAATTAAAATAATTGACATAATCAACGTCGTTCTAACGGATGGCACAAAAAGGGTACTGACCAACCTTTTTTCATGCATCACGCGTAATACGTAATATCAGAGCGACATTAACTGACTGGAACGATTGATTCAAATAGATTGTTTCTGTAGAAAATGAACAAGTGGAATGGAATTGAGGTCGATGTGAATTGGTTAAAAATTCGCGATGATGCAGCAAAAATTATAGAAACATTGAAGCAGCAGAGTGCAGCTTGAAAACGTAACCTCCTAAAGGTGAGGCGTGACTGTATAGCGGCGTTCAAGCTCAGCGGCCCGGGCTTACTTGCATCGTTTCCAGATTAGCAAGACACGAAGTGAACGATAGATTGACTAGCTAAAGCTATTACACCAAACGTACTCTCTGCACAAGGGTATCTATTCGTAGGCTATTGGCGTTTCATCTTGAACAATAAAATTAAATTGAAAAAATGGTAGAAGTTGAGAAACGATTGAAGTATAAGCCACAACACATGATTATCGAACACAAGATTTAACCGTCGTTTGCAGGTTAGTGAAGCAGGTGAAACTCGTCTTAATAACGATGGAAATTGCGATGCAAAAGTATTGACAAAGAGTACTTTTACCGAAAAAGTCGAGAATTTTATGATTAATTAAAACGCCAGAAAGAATCCACGAGAAACCCTTGAGAAATCTCAGAAGAGGTGTACTCTAGAAGGCAGGAGAAACTCCTGCTGCTCTTTTACTGCATTTGAGGGCACGGACTGCAGGCATCACCTCTGACCTCGAACCAAATACAGTCCAAACCATATACAGTCTAAATAAATCTTTGCTCATTGTTCGGTCATCACAAACTCGACTATGATATATATCACTACCAAGCGATCAAATTGACTTTCCACAGCCGGCCGTCCTAGATTTTGTGTAATGAAAAATTATTAACATGATAGCTGCATTCGTAGAACAAAATAATTTCGGTTCAATAATGTCGTATTTCTTCATGCAATTTGCTTGAAGGCCAAAACAAAGCCAATAAACATGCTGACTGAAACATTTACATATATAAGATAAAATGCGGATACAGTTGAACCGAGAGGAAAATTAAATACGGGTCACAGGAAGAAATACTGTAATGGAAATGTACGGGCCACTAAATAAAGTGATTCTAATAAACTAATGATATACGCTGAAATAATTTTTAGAGGGCAGATTTTGCAGGACAAGAAATTATCACTAAAAGATAGCAGAGCATGAGCATGAAAGAGGATTTATGGATGGTTATGTTCAAACACACAAACGTCGCAGAGCAATTTTCCATAACAATCGTAATGCTCAAGCAGTCACAGAATGTGGGGATTAGAGTCGACCTAGTGAGGGCAGAGTATGAAGCGCCGGATGTCGTGCCACATCCCGTCAAGATGTGTGACTGAATACAAGCTCACGCTCCTTTACGTAGAGAACTACAACACGTGTCGGGCCTATGCTTTCGATATAAATCACCTGTATACACTGAGAGAAAAATAAGCATTACCAAGCATATACAAGAAAACAAGGTAATGAATTAATTTACTCGATGGCACTCGTATGTCCAGGAAGTTACATGGCCAGATTACGCCCCAAGAACGATTCGTTACAGCACGACCAGCAAGAATATCGATACCGACTTCTCACACATTGTTCATCGAGAGTTCTTCCAGCATGCAACTCAAGGTTACCTAAGGCAAAGAAAAAACAAAGCGTACATGAGCAAGCATTCAAGTAAGTCCAACAGCAGCGCAAGCTTGAACATTCGTGCTCTGCAACACAACCACCAAGCAAACAACAGTAAATTGCCACAGAGAAAATTGCTTAAGGACGATAGAAAGCAAACACAGTGTATTAATAAATAGTCCAAAAGTTGCCCCAATTTAATTCAAGCACATTTTAGTTAGGCAAGTAAAGAAGACTATGACGTAATACATAGAACCTCGTGCAAGTGCGACATTGCCAGGAGTTACAGCTACCGAATTTTATAAGCAAGACCAATAAGCCGTTGCGCACATAACATAGCAGCGCGGCTCGATCGGCTTCCAAGTCACGTTCGTTCCTACAGTTATAAACAACATTATACAGCGTTCGTAAACACGGCGCAATTCTCTGTAATTTCTCATGGGACAACGCTTGGTACACTTTTTTTGCTTAAAAGGGTGAAATACTAATACTGACTTATAAATTTATTTAATGATAATTGAACGATGTTTCGAGATAAAACCCTTTTTAAAATCACAATAATGATACTTCGTTCAGTATAATCCAGAGAGACTCAAAAATTTCACCGGCAAAATCATAAACCTTTATTGCTAAAATATATTCACAAATGTTTAAAAACTCAAAATTAACTTCAATATTTATCTATCTCTAACCCAAAATCGCTACCAACGACTCCTGATAGCGCAACAGCGACAAAAATCAATACAGTGATATCGAGAACAAGGCCGAAAACAATAGAATTTGAGGATGGCGCATTGGCCTTCATAAACAGACTTGAATCGATGAATACTACACGCATGGAAAGGGGTTAATTACGGGGAAATTCGACTGTCACTTCTGAATAGCAATCATAATGAAGAATCTAATACACGGCCGTCTTACTCAATTAGGTACGCAGTTTTTTATTGAAAGCCTTCATCCTGTCGGATTTTAGAATCAAT